ATCCACCAATCCATTTGATCCATGGATCCACCAATCCAATGCACCAATCCATGGATCCAATTCATTTGCCACCTCTAGTAGTCGATCTGTTTAGCTTGAATATGTGGAATATTTTTTTTCATTACATTTTTGAAATATTAACCAGGGGTTCGGTCAGCCAGTCAAACCGGCCAGTTTTTGTGAATTTTACCGAGTTTCTCCGGGCTTAACCCAGGGGCGTAGCCAGGATTTTATGGAGGTGGGTCCATTTATAAAAAAATATATATGGTAAAATAATTTGTTACCATTTAAATAATTCATGATATAATTATTTATTTAAAATTTTATGGTATATTAAATATATGACTTTAAAAAATATCACCCTATATGTATCAAAAAATTATTCATAATTTAGTTAGATATTTGCTTTTGAATGGTGTTCTTTGTCAAAGACCGTTTAGTATCAACAACTCGAGTTGTTGGGAAATATTTAATTATGGATCTTAAACTATTTAATATTTACTTACACTTCCTTGCTAACACAAACAAATTTATATGTGGTTAAAGTTTTTGCAAATTTGAATATCACGTGCTGAACAAATGGAGTCGTTAAGATTCGAACACATGATCTCTCGGTCAATCATTTTTAATTAGAAATGCCCTAAATTGGCTAAATTTCATTATCAATGAACTATTATACTAATTTCACTCTCCCTACCCCTAATTGAAATAAAATTATTTTTACAAACTAGCTATGATTTGGTGGAAATATGTGGTAGATATTGAATATGTATATTTTTAATTTTTGGCAGATGATATGCACCGTTGCCATTTGTACAAAGCTCGTTATAAAAACATTGAGCATGCCAAAACACAACTTATAAATCAAATATAATACATCTGAAAATTCAACCGTTCTCATTTAATACGTGTTATTTTTCATACCCGATTAACTATTATACCTAATTTAACATTTTTTATCAAGAACCAGGATGGATCCCAGACCTACCCTTTAACACTCTCCCTCCGCGGGCTTAACCGAGTCCGGGCAGATTCTACTTGGTTGTTCTCGTCTCGTTAGTATAACCTAGTTCGGACCAAACTGATTTCGCCCTTGGCATGACCAATTAGCGGCAACGAGGCACCACTGCCGAATTTGGCCCTTCGGTGATTCAGATTATAGAAACATGGTTGCCAAAAGTTCCCACCTTCTGCGACCATTCGAAACAATTGTACGTTGAAAATAGATGTTTTTGGCGACGACATTGCATTTCTGTGGTCGCCGAAAATAAAAAGCTTTGCTCATTAGTTTTCGGCTCGCTATATGCGTCATAGTACGCATCGAACCACCAGCTGATGGTTTCGTTAATAGTGTAATGATATGGGCACTGATAACTTGAATCGCCTGTGTCAGGATGATTGTAGGAACAATTTTCGCTTTAGAGCGAATCTACGAACTTTGATATTTTGTATCCTGATTGTTCCTTGTCTGCTCTGGAGCGAATTGAATCAGATTATGCTCCTCTTCTGCTCAAATGGGGTGATTCCTATAGGGCTCATAGGCCGTGGAAGTTCGAGAATATGTGGTTGGAGGATGAGAGGTTTTTTGCAGGCTTGGATACATGGATCAGCTTGCAAATTCAAGGTTGGGGGGCTGTTTTTAGGTTTGCTCGGAGGCTGCAAAATATCAAGAGCCATATCAAGGTGTGGAATAAGAAGGTTTTTGGTGACTTGAATAGGAAGCTTGACGAGCTCACTGCTGCTGTTCAGGAAACTAATAAGCAGGAGGAGATTCGCTCTCTTACAGCTGCAGAAGTGTCTTCTAGGGAGGGTCTATTGCTTGAAATTGGGAAAGTGCTTGATTTGCTTGAAATATCTTGGAGACAGAAATCTCGGGAGCTTTGGTTGAAAAAGGGAGACAAAAATTCAGGCTATTTTCACAGAGTTGCAAATTACAGGAAGAAGGTGAATCGGATCGGTAGCATTAAAATTGATGGGGTCCTGGTTGAAGGGAGGGAAGAGGTGGCTGTTGGCATTGTCAATTATTATGCAGGCCTGTTCCTCGAGCAGATTGCTTCTCGCCCTTTTCCCAGGAGTTTAAGATCATCTAGACTCAGTGAAACTGATCGTTGGGCTCTTGACATGCCCTTCTATGAGCTTGAAATTTGGGAAAGTTTGGCTGATTGTGACGGGGGTAAAGCCCCTGGCCCGGATGGTTTCACTTGGGATTTCTTTAAAAAATGTTGGAGCTGGATCAAAGCGGATATCATCAACGCCTTTGGGGATTTCTTTTGCACGAGCTTCCTCCCAAACATCATAACTCATTCTTTTATTTGCTTGGTCCCGAAGAAGGATGTGGTGGAAGACACTAGGGACCTGAGACCGATTAGCCTAATGGGGAGTTTCAACATATTGGTAAGCAAGGTCTTATCTAGAAGGTTGGGATCTGTTTTGCCTAAGCTCGTCTCACGGAACCAGCATGCCTCGGTTAAGGGTAGGCAAATTGCTGATGCCGGCCTCATTGCTTTCGAGCTAGTTGACAGTCGAAGAAAAGCAGAAAGCGAGGGTTAATGTTTAAATTGGACATAGAGAAAGCTTTTGATAATGTCAATTGGAACTGTTTGTTCCGTATCCTATCTTCCATGGAATTTTCTGAGAGGTGGGTGAAGTGGATCAGGGGTACTATGTGCAACCCAAAATTATCTGTGCTCATAAATGGAGAATCTAAGGGGTATTTTGATGCTCAGAAAGGTTTGAGACAAGGGGATCCTCTATCTCCGGGCCTTTTCTGTCTTGTCATGGACGTGCTTTCCTTCATGCTCTCCTCTATTCGTGAGAATGGGAAAATTGCTGGCTTCTGTATGGATAAAGCGGGGGGCAATGGGGAAGTCACTCATCTTCTTTTTGCCGATGATACCTTAATTTTTTGTGATGCCTCTTATGATCAGGTTATCAATATCCTCTCTACCATTGTGTGCTTTCAAGCTGTAACGGGTCTCAGAATTAATCTTGAGAAGTCGATTATGTTCACAGTGGGTGATGTCCCAAATCCGGATTTTTTTGCTTCTATCTTTGGATGTAATTGGAGTGACGATGTCTCGAAGTACCTAGGTTTCCCTCTTGGGGCTAAACCAAATGCAGTTTCATTGTGGGATCCAATCATTGATAATTTTCAGAAGAGACTAGAGGGATGGAAAGGTAGACACTTATCTCTTGGAGGAAGATTGACACTCTTAAAAGCTGTCCTTTCCAGCCAGCCGGTGTACTACTTCTCTCTTTTTAAAGCCCCTCTCACAGTTACAAAAAGTTTGGAGAGTATACAGAGAAGGTTTCTTTGGAGTGGGACGGGTGAATCTCGGAAAATGTCCCTGGTAAGATGGGACATGTGTAAAGCTCCTGTGTCGAAAGGGGGGCTTGGGATATTGGATTTGGACTTCTTTAATAAAGCCTTGTTAGGTAAGTGGCTTTGGCGCTATGCAACTGAAAGAGGAAGTTGGTGGAGAATTCTGGTTTCCTCTAAATATCCGAATCCGAATTCAGAATGGCGCACTGGGAGAAGTAGACAAGGCTTCTCGGGATCGGTTTGGGCTAACATCTCTAAGGAGTATGATGGTTTTTGGAGAATGGCCAGTATTAATCCAGTTAATGGCGCTTGGGTTTCCCTGTGGCATGATAGTTGGATTCCGGGTGTGGTGCTTGCTGATACCTTCCCTAGAGTTGCTGCCGCCTCGAGCTCTCCGGATGCCTGGGTCTCCGACGCCTTGTCCTCCTCAGGTGAGATTATTTCTTGGCAGATTCCTTTACTTAATAACCTTCGAGGGGGGGGGGGGGGGGGGGCTGAGAGGGAGAGATTAGATTTGATTAACCTGCTTAATTCGAGGGGTTTTGGTCTTTTGTCTTCTGGGCCGCCCAGGCCAATCTGGTTACCAAACCCAGATAGCTCCTTTTCTGTTCATTCTATGTACAGGTGCTTAGCCGGGGAGATTTTTAAAGGCTCTACTAATTTCCCTGCTGATTCCATTTGGAGGATGATTGTTCCGACCAAAATATGCTGCTTCGTTTGGCTTGTGGCTCACAAGAGCATCCTCACTATAGACAATTTAAAGAAAAGGGCTATGTCCATGGCGAACAGGTGTGAGCTGTGCAGGATGGAAGAAGAGTCGATCGATCATCTATTTGTTCGTTGTGGATACAACAAGGAGGTGTGGGACAGGATGACGAGGATGTGTGGAGGTATTGAGGAACCCGTCAGGGACACTTTTGAAATCATTTCCAGGTGGCCAGACTCTTGCCCGGCTAATGAGATGAGCTGGATTCGTTTTGGGGCTTTACATGCTGTGTGTTGGCAAATTTGGATTGAACGCAACAACAGAATCTTTAGAGATGTTTGTGCACAAGCTCAGGTGGTTGCTCGCAAAGCCTTTAGAAACGCTGTGGAGTGGCCTATTGCTGGTGGTAAATTGGATAAAGATCAAGGAAAACGCTGTATAGAGGAGCTTCTGCAGTTAATCTGAACTTGCCGCCCTGATTGGTGATGAAGCTTTTTGTGGTTGCGACAGCCTTATGTGGTTGTATTTTTGCTGTCGAGGCTCTGTCCCCTTCTGCTTCGCTGTTGGTGTTCAGATCCTCCTTTTTTAACAAACATTGAAGAGTTAGAAGCTGCTTGAGCAAAACCATTCTTCAGTAAGGAGCTGGCTAACTTGGCAAACCATTGCCTGCTAGCCTGCTTTAATCCATATAGGGATTTCTTTAGTTTCAAAACCATCTTGTTATCAGGTAGTTCCATACCTGGTGGAGGTTTCATGTAAACTTCCTCATTAAGCTCTCCATGAAGGAAAGCATTTGATACATCCATCTGATGTATGAGTCAGTCATTGGCAGCTGCTACTGCCAGTAATACTTTTACAGAATTAATCTTGGAAACTGGTGAGAATGTGTCCAGAAAATCTATACCATAGATCTGGGCTTAATTGCAAGTTTGGTCACTCGAATTGCTATAAAATTTCATGTTTGCCACTTAAATTAATTTATTCCATTTATAGTCACTCGAATTAGTTGAACAGTTCAAGTTCGGTCACTCTCCGTTAACCTCCGTTAACTTTGACTGACGTGGCGGTCAACTCTGACAGTTGACCGTTAAATGTGTGACGTGGCAAATAAAAAATAATTAAAAAATAAAAATTATATTTTTAGAAATTACACATCATTATAAAAAAAATTATAATTATAAAAATGAAAAAAAGAAATTATAATTATAAATTTTTTTTTTACAGAACGCCACTGATGTTCCGATAAACCTCAGCTTGATAGGTTCTCTTAACACGATTAGGATCAGACGACAGCAGGTTACTAGCGTCGAAGGTGATGTGGTAGTTCTCACCACCAAATCACCATAAACTACACTTCTGATCACTTGCTTGGAGAAGAAATAATAATATCCAACTGCACACAAAGATAGAAGCTTTGATGCTGGATGGTAACTTAACATTAGTAGGAAAGCAGTGTGGGCATCACAAACCTTGAATGAAACCCGGCATAAGCATCAACGAGTAGAAACCAAGAGCAACAAATCTCATCACCCATCTATAGCCTACCCTGAATAAACAGAAATGCTCAGCAACCACAATTGTTTGCAGAAATGCCATTACGAAACAAAGCAGCACAAACCAAAAGAGGAAGAATCCAAAAAAAAAAAAAAATTGAGTACCCAAGATAGGTCAAGAGCTGCAAACTCAATCTGGTAAGCAGAAACGTCTCGGCCGCCGCATGACCCACTTCACGGCTCAACGACTGCTGCCGGCCGCTCCCTTCATCCCCCGCCCCACCACCACCGCCACCACCATCTGAACAAACAATCGAGGAAAGCAGACACGTTTCACTAGCCGTCCGACGACGCCTCTTCTTCTTGCTGTGATCATAAAACTTGCCGAACCCTTCGCTACTGCTACTACCACTACTACTAGTACTACTTCTGGCAGTGGAAATACCTGAAAAACTAGAATTCCGCGACAACAGAGGCTTCTTGTGGGATGTGGTAATCTCGTCGGAGGAAGAAATCAATAGCCGGGTTGAAGGGTCGTCGATGACTAGGTTCATCACCATCTGATTAACACTCTCCTCTTCGTCTTCTTCTTTGATCGACAGCGAAGTCTCTGCAATTGGCGGCGAGGAGGAATTCCCCAAATTTTGGGGGGATTTATGGTGGTGGATTGTGGTGACGGGGAGGATTTGGGACGACGACATTATTGTATCGTGGTGGTGGTGAATGATCTGGCGGGGGGAGGGAAATGGGCAGTGGGAATCTCTTGTCTGGCGGGTGATTTGGTCGTTTGTGCAGTGAGAAACAAGTGAAATTTTTTTTTCTCGGCGGGGTGTTTGGTCGCTAGGAATCGATAAGAAACGGAGAGGAATTTTCTCGGGAATTTGTCCATGGCGGGTTGGGAATTTTCATCTTTGTTTTCCTGCGTTTCTCCGTTTGCCCCGAATTGGTGACGAACCGGCAACCAACCAGATCTCACAGCCGGGAAGGTGGGGTAGTTGACGGATCAGACTTTTTTCGTCAATATGTCTATTTTTCATTTTTTATAATTATAATTTTTTTATAATGATGTGTAATTTCTAAAAATTTAATTTTTATTTTTTTAATTATTTTTTATTTGCCACGTCACACATTTAACGGTCAACTGTCAGAGTTGACCGCCACGTCAGTCAAAGTTAACGGAGGTTAACGGAGAGTGATCGAACTTGAACTGTTCAACTAATTCGAGTGACTATAAATGGAATAAATTAATTTGAGTGGCAAATGTGAAATTTTATAGCAATTCTAGTGACCAAACTTGCAATTAAGCCATAGATCTGTGTAAAGCCTTTAGCCACTAACCTAGCTTTGAACCTTTCTATGGTCCCATCTGCTCTAAGCTTCACTTTATACGCCCACTTACATCCAATGGCCTTCTTACCTTCTGGGAGATAAGCTGGTTCCCAAGTCTGATTTGCTTCAAGTGCATCAGACTCATCTTTCATAGCTTCTCTCCAACACAATTCTTTGCAAGCTTCTTCATAAGATCTTGGCTCTATAACAGCCATTGCATTCATCACATATGTCTTGTGTGCAGGTGGTAAATTTTCAAAAGTAACATAATTGGCCATGGAGTACTTCTGAACTGCTCCCACTTTGTAATCCTTATGCCAAACTGGGACAGTTTTGATGCCTATCAAACTTTCTCAACTCAGGGCCAATCCCTTCTCCATCTTCAACATCTAGTTGCTCAACTAATTCATCATCAGGGTCACCCCCTTCAGAGTTCACTCCTGGAGACTCAACTTCTTCATGAACTGAGGTTTGAGGCAATGTGTCTGGGGAAGGAGAAGAAGGAAAAGAAGGTGATGAAATAGATGGTGAATCATCAGAAGAGGTGGAAGGAGATGAAGTCTGAGTTGGTGGAAAGAATGATGGAAAGTGGATAGAAGGTTGAGGAACATCAGGGAAAAGAGGGGCAATAGATGGAGAAGGATCAGGTGGTTGTGAAGAAGAGGAAGTTGAGGGATTTAGAAAGGGAAATATGGTTTCATAGAAAACCACATTCCTAGAAACAAAGGTTTGATGTGTATTGAGATCAAACAATTTGTAACCCTTGATTCCAGTGGGGAATCCAAGGAAGACACACTGCCTGGCCCTAGGGCTGAATTTTGTTCTATCTCTTAGTAGTGTGGATGCATACACAAACAACCAAACACTTTAAGCAAATTTAAGGCTGGTTGTTTGTGGTATAACAGCTCAAAAGGTGAAACTCCATTTGTCACTGGTGAAGGCAGTCTATTAATAAGGAAAACAACATGTAGAATGCAGTCACTCCAAAAATGTAAGGGTAGCCCTGATAGGAAACGTAGTGCCCTGGCAACATTTAGGATATGCTGATGTTTCCTTTCAAGATGAGCATTCTGCTCAGGAGTTTCAACACAGGAGAGAGCTGGTGCTCAATTCCATGTGTGCTATAGAAGTCTAACATATGAAATTCATTCCCCTGATCACTTCTAATCACTTTAACAGCCTTATCAAACTGCTGCTTAAACATAACACAAAAGGATTGAAGAAGAGAAGAAGCTTCAGACTTCTGTCTCATTAGATAAACCCAAACACTTCTTGTGTAATCATCCACAATAGATAGAAAGTAAGAATATCCCTCATGGGACTTAACAACAAGAGGTCCCCATATGTCAACATGGATTAATGTAAAAGAAGAAACAACTCTACTATCATTAATAGGAAAGGAAGTTTCTTTTGATTGGCTAAATGACAAGTTTGGCAATGTTTGATAGAAATCCTATTACATCCACTAGCTTGATGTTTTCTTTCCCTACTTGGATGTCCCAGTCTCCAGTGCCAAAGATCAATCTGATGTGGTTCAAAGTTATAAGTGGTTGCAGCTTGATGAGTGTGAATGACAGGTGAAGGTCTTGGTGTGGTGATGAGATGGTAGGCCTCTATCTTGTTTTGCTGAACCGATCAGGTTCTTGGTTGTTTGGTCCTGAATATGACAAGAGTCAGATTCAAATAACAAAGAAATGGGCAGGTCATGGGTGAGTTTACTGATGGAGACTAGGTTGAAAGTAAAGCTAGGGACTAAGAGGACATTGTGTAGGATTAGACCAGTAGGTAGTTTGACTGAACCTACATGACTCACTGCTACCTTAGAGCCATTAGGCAGATAAACAAATTGGTTAAGGACTGGTCTAGCATCTAGAAATACAGCAAGGGAACATGCTATATGATCTGATGCTCCTGTGTCTAAAATCCAAACTTGTGCTAGAGCCATTAATCCATGTTGAGCAAAGGAGGAAAGAACATATTTACCAGCATAGGTAGAATGTGTTGGGAGGTGCTGTGAGACTGAGTAGGATTCATGCTTGATGGAAGGAGAAGCTGGTGGTGATGGACTCATACTATCGGGCTGATGTAAGAGAAGTCTCAGCTTGTTTATCTCTTCAGTAGTGAAGTTGAGAGATCCAGAAGAGGATGATTTACTGTCATAGCCAGCACTGTGTCCTGAGGAAACAGAATCACCACTTTGTGACTCAGATTGAGACACTGAACCAGCAAAAGTTCCTCCCTCACCCATTCGAGCCTTCTTGTTCTTCAACTTGTAGCATTCTTCCTTTAGGTGACCACCCATTTTGCAATATCGACAAAACTTGCCTTCCTTAGCAGATTCAAATTTGTTCTCTTTGTTTGGGGTGAAAGACTTGTTCTGGTCACCTTGTGCAGCCAAGGCAACAGACTGGATACCCCTGGTACTTTGACCTTTGTCACCCTTCAATTTCTGCTCATGTTGCAATATATCATCTACAACAGTTTCTACAGCAGGTAAAGGCTTCATCATAAGAAGCTGGGTTTGAACGATATCAAACTCAGGCCTTAACCCCTTAAGAAACTTGATAAGATAATCTGTTTCCAACTTCTGTCGATAAGCAACCACTGCAGCACACGACCTAACTCTCACAGCAACACAATCACACTCAACAACAAGACTATACTGTTGAATCTCTTCCCACAAACCCTTAAGGGTGATATAGTACTGAGTCACACTCATACTACCTTATTTACAAGCAGCCATTTCGTCTGAAATATTAGCTAGTTTAATTGCATTAGATCTGCCAAAACGATTCTTAAATTCTTACCAAACAACCATAGCATTCTCATGTTGTAAAACACTTCTACTAATATCCTTATGTACTGAATTCAAAATCCAACAGAGAACCATGGTATTGGAAGCATGCCACAAGACAAAATCAGGATGGGTACGATCAGGCATTAGAATCAAGCCATCAAAGAAGCCCAGCTTGTGCTTGGTCTTAAGAGCCATACGCACAAGTTTGGTAGATAGATCCATCCAAGCTCTCGGCAACGATGGATTGTCCTAGATTCTCACTAGGATTTATGTAATAAGGACTTCCAAACACTAAACCAGATGATTGTTGTTACCATTCTGCTGTTGGCGAACTTCAGTGTTCGTGTTGTTGTGAACCTCGCCTCCACCGCTACTGGTCGTAGAGGTGAAGGTGCCAAATGGAATGGGTCCTGAGCCCTGAGATCCTGGTGGTGTCTGCGGAGGTGGATTGTTCGCCATAGCAGAAGAGTAAGTGAGAAACGGATTAAAATCGCTCTGATACCATAAGAAGAAGAAGGAGGTATGGAGAAGCTGCTAGGTTAAGCAGCTGGAATGATTGGAGGGGAAAACTCAGAGAAGCATCTTGCTCTCTGTTTTCTATTTATACCACCAAGTGTTCAGAACAGTAAAAACGGAAATGAGTAAAACTGTAATTTGAAAAAGAAATTAACTGTGCCTATACACGTGGCACTTAACGATTCTGTAACTTCTAACGGCTAGCTAACAGTAAAGGCATTCTCTGTTCTTCATTTCTGAACTTCCTATCCCTTGTTCTTCGAGACTGCCAACATACCTTGAGCTCCATTCTTCTGCTCTGATAAGCACTATCGTTGACGCCGCGATCTCGTTCTTGCTGGCGGTAGGATTCCGGCAGGGAAGGCGCCGACGGCGCGTAGGACTCTGAAGAGTACGATCGACCGTAAGACGACATTTGGGAAATTGGGAGAGCCGGTGTTTCCTCCGCCGCTGTTGAGGGTGGCGGCGGAGTCGCTTCATTACGAGAGCGGGCTGCTGGGTGCCGTCCCGAAGCAGAAGGCTAGGGATTAGGGGTTTCGGAGGAGAGGATTCCTTGAAGGTTTCCTCATCGCAGTCCGGCGATAGCGACGGTTGCCGTTTTTCGAGAAAATGCTAACCACTTGAGAAACTTGTAGGAAAGAAATTAGGTTTTGTATTTTTTTTAATGAATGTAATAATGAGGTGGAAAATATAAAAGTTAATTTTTTAATTTTTAATAATTTTATAGTTGTCACGTCACTAAGTTAACTGTCAACTTTGAGAGTTGACTGCCACATTAACAAAAGTTAACGGAGTTGGACGGAGAGTGACCAAACGTGAACCATTTCAGTAAACTGAAGTACCATTGGATTTAAATATTTTGAGTGACCAAACTTGAACATTTTTTGTAATTTCAGTGACCAACCATGCAATTAACCCATTTTTATTCGGACAATAAATAAAGTTGAATTTGAGGTATGATATTATACTCAAACTTTTAATAAAAATAATTATAATTTATTCTAATTCGTCGAAATATATGAAATAAATCCAACGATCAGATTATTTGAAGTATAGTATACTCCAAAAGTACGCCAGTTGTTAACCATCATATAATAATTCATAAACGCGACCCGTCCCTAAGTTGTCCCCACCCGTCCCGATCCTTACAGGGTCAACCCTGTAGACAAACTAACAAGACGGGTCAGTGGGTCTTCCGGGTCAAACTTTCACCCCTAGTTTATGGGAGTAAAATAAGAATAGTAGTCCATGTCATTAGAAGGCAACAATGAAGAGTCGCCTGTAACAGCACAGCATCAACGCAGAGGGATTCTGTGGAAAGAAATGGAGAATTCAAAGTGGAAGGATGCATTTATGCATCTATTGCATCGGATCGGTGGAACTAAACATGAAGTCGCATGAGAAATGATGCTGATGATTTCGTTATGAAAGCATTCATAAATCATAACGTTTAGTGAGGTAGTACGTATATAGGCAACTGTTAGATTTTTGGGGTGTTTATTGTAAATTGAAAGTTTGAGTTTTTATTTTGTAATGGAAGAGAATTGTGTTTGTGAAGAGAGGAGTTTTGGGAATTGGATAGAGGTGGCTGCAGAGATATGAGTAATGGAACAAGGCAACCATTTTTTTTTCTTTCTTGTAAATGATATTTTTCCCCCATAGCTTTCCATCCACAATTATTTGCCCCTTCTTTTATGCTAACTAGATTCTTACCCCCGGCCAGTTGGTAATTATAAACATTAAACGACAATAGTAATTATGTGAAGCAAAATACATTTTCATTTGTAATTATAAAAGAGTAATTTTTAAATATTGGAAAAATAAAAAGAACATGGATCATAAATTGAACATCTATCATAAACTTTTCGGACATCCTAACTTATTCATCAACTAAAGTCATGCAAGAGAATCAATTCTACAAAATCGTCCAAATCACACTCTGATTAGAAATTACTACATATTTTGTTTTGGACTTCACGATTGCTTCATCATTATCATCCTCACCAATAACAATGTCTTCCTTCCTCATCTACATTTCACTGAAAGCAAATATGAGATTTGCTCTTTCTCACTAATACTGATACTTCTACCTTATGTCATCCAATTCGATGGATTTTTGTCTGCGTTCCCGCTCTAGAGCACTGAAAGCGCGAATCAGCAGCAATCCGCAAATTATACTTTTGCATAGCGCAGTTTTTTATTTTTAGAGCGCGCTTTGTCAAATAGTTGTCGAGAACACAACTTTTAGAACAACTACTTTGAGGATGAGTGGCCAAAGAAGGTAAGATATACAGCAGCAACGGGTAGGAGTTGGTGGAAACGGCAACGATACTCCAGAGTAAAAACAGAGCAAGCAACGACTGAAACTCCGATAGAACTAAGTTGGTCCCAACTAATTTTACTTTGCTATGGTCTAGATAACAAAATCAAGGGAACCAGAAACAACTATATGACATCAAATTAAAACATAACAGCCAGGGGCGAAGTGGCCGCAATCGTTAGCAACATATTCAAGTGATCAGCTACAAAGATCTACTTGACAGACTATATTTAAGTTTTACTTAGAATTTAGATAAAGTCATTGTAGCAAATTCTTTTACATTGTCATAGTAATAGTAATGTAAAAATAAAATGCTAGAAACAAATAGGTTTGTTGACGAACGACAAACCACATATAAGGTTTACTTAGTTTAGATTTAATTGCTATAACAATTTTTTATTACCATAATAATAGTAATAAGTATGTAAAAATAAAATTCTGAAACAAATTGTAAAAAAAGTGCAACCTCCCTCAACGAATAAATCAAAAGTAGTATAAAATAATAAAAAAAAATTTAAATAAGATGGAAAGACACTTTTAGCCTTCCGTGAGATAAGGTGGAGGCTTCAATTTTTGTTTTAACCCACTCATCATGGTGAATCTCTATATATTAGTGTGTAGGATAGGATAGGATGTAGGATTGTTGATAATATTGGAAAAATATCCCAACGGCCATACATACACGACAATGTTATTCTTGGCTGATTTATTGTTTTTATTATTTAATTTATTTTCGTGGTAAATTCTAGAATTAACTTCATAATATTTTGAACAGTTAGTGATAGTAATTTAAACCCGTCCTGCTGCTGTTTAATCCTGCTGCAGATCTTCTTCTTTACTTGCAACCTCGACCACGGTCGTGGTAGTAGTAAAGAGGCCATCTTGGACTCGATAGTCCGCGGTGGTGCCATCGTAAAGCTTTTCGGTGTACGAGTAATCGAAAGGGACGTCACAGGCGGTCTTGATCTTGGTCGTGGTAATTCTCAGCTGTTTCATAGGAGAAACAATGACCTCGTTCGCAATCTCCGAGCTCTCGCCCCGTTCCTCGAATGCTCCTTCGATTTTTCCTTCAGAGTGTTCGCTCGAGATTTTGAGCTTTCCTTCCTTGAGGAACGAAATCCCTTTGAAGTCCGTGGTGATCTCAACTTTGCCGCCTACCTTCCAACCGTAAGAGTTGGTCCAAGAAGTAGTGTGGCTCACTGTCTTCCCAAACTTCCTTTCCACTTTCGATACATTTGGGGTCTCGTTTGTATGAGAGGACGAAGATGGAGTAAGGAAATGCCTAACCATCTGTTTTCGATTACTTTTCAGTGGGTTGGGTTTCGGGTTTGGGTTTAGGGTCAATTAATTGGGTTGGTTCGCGGGTTGGGCAAGAATGGCTGACAGGGCGGGTAAGGCTGAGCTGGCGGGTCGGGTCGTCATTTTTTAATGTTAAAATATGCTGACTGTGTCTTTCTGTTAGCCACGTCATCACTTAACGGTCATCATTAACGGAGTCTAACGGAGGTTAACGGAGAGTGACCGAACTTGGACGGTTCAACTAATTCAAGTGACTATAAATGGAATAAATCAATTCGAGTGGCAAACGTGAAATTTTTAAGCAATTCGAGTGACCAAACTTGCAATTAAGCCATAAAAAAATACAAGCAATTTTGAGAGTTGAGATTATTGTATAAAGATACTTGATTGCTGGATAAATATGTTTATCCCAATTGGCTATCTTACTAAAAGTTGCCAACCTTTATTTGGTAAGTGCCTAGGTTATTAGTTGATAAAACGTGATGTTTATCGTAGATTCTCAACAAAGACTTCTCTAACCTTCTCATATGTTATTTTTCAAGGAATCTTGTGTATCATCCTAGGGTATGAAGTCAAAGTTCGTCAACAATCATACTTAAGCCATTTTGAAAAATTTGATTTATAATCGTCGACGATAACTCCAAGTCTGAAAGAAAATTTCTTAATTAGCATACAACTTAGGACCTCAATAGAGCTTGCTCAATCAAACATAATATAGAGCAAATATTATCAATGTGAACTTAGGACATATTATAAAATTATTGCACATGCAATCAGGGGCGTAGGCAGGATTTGACTTTGGGTGAGTCCAAAATGGAAAACTATAAAATATTTTTTAAGTACTAAATAAATTTATTAATTCTTACAATATTCATAACATATTTTCAAAAGTTTCAAAAGTACGTTCATCATCCATCTTAGCTAATAGCTACTATACAACAATAGAAGACCAATGGAGATCGGGAGATGGTCGTATAGGACGGGAGGTGGGCAGATTAGGCGAGAGTTTGGGGGGGGGGGGGTAGTTGAGCTTGGTTTGGGAAGGAGGTGTAGAATAATTTTGAAATAAACAATTAGATATATGTTTGACTTGTTTGTTTATGTAAAATTTAGTTTTTTCTATATGAGTACTTCTACTATACTTTAAAGTACAATTTGAAGTTTTAACATAACGTTAAAAGTATAAATTAAAGATAAAATCTCAAATTGTACCATAACGTTAAATGTACAATTTCAAATTGTACCACAAAAACAAAAAATAAAATATAAATGCTTTATAGCATTATAAAATTTCTCTTGTGTATATACCTACTAATGTTGAATTTATCACAAAATATCTAGTTTCCTACTGGCAAATGCTTTAAGCTATATTGGGAGGAAAGTGATATTGGTTTCTATTCTGATTGGCTGCCCTCAAATGTTCCTTATTTTTTGGTCTTTTGAAGAAAGCTGATGAATTATTTTGTAAGAAAAAGTCCAGAGTTCAGTATATCCAGGAAGGGGACTCCAACACTCCCTTCTTCCATAGGTTTGTTACAATTAGAATGCAGAAGCAGCAGATAACAAGATTAAATGATACTCAAGGGAATATGGTGACTGATGTCAAGGGTATTGGATCGATTGCTGTTGATTTCTATGCTAAACTTATTAGATCGGCTGATCCTAAAGTTTAGCAAATGCCAATGGATTACTTCAAGAGAATTATCCAGCACAGATTAAGTACAACAAATTGTGCAGAGCTTATGAAGGGTGTATCAAGGGGGTAAATTAGGAAAGTTTTCTCTAATATGGGTAAGGGCAAGGCTCCTGGACCTGATGGTTTTCCCGTAGAGTTCTACAATGCTCACTGGGATATCATTGGTAAGGAGGTCGAAGAGGTAATTCTGAGCTTTTTCTCTATTGGTCACTTGGCTTCTATAGTGAACTCTATAATTTTTGCCTTAGTTGCTAAGATACCCTGTGCTGAGTATATGAAAGATTATAGACCCATATATTGTTGCAATATCTTGTATAAAGGGATTTCTAAGTTGCTAGTAAAGAAAATGGCCAAAGTTCTGCCTAATCTAATTAGTAAATCTCATTATGCATTTATTCAGGGGAGAGCTATTAGTGATAACATATTATTAGTATCTGAGTTAGTGAGGAATTACCACAAAATAGTCATTACCCCTAGATGTGCTTTAAAAATTGATCTCATGAATGCTTTTGATTCAGTTGATTGGGGTTTTCTATTCAATGTTATGACTTCTATGGAATTCCTTGCTGGTTATATGAAGTTGATAAGAGCCTGTGTCTCTACTCCTCTAATTCGGGTGGCTATGAATGGTGGCTTATGTGGGAAATTTACAGCTCGTAAAGGCCTCAGGCAAGAGGATCCTTTGTCTCCATATTTGTTTGTCATAGCTATGGAAGTTCTAGACTGTTTAGTGAAGCAAGATGTAGCTGATAACCAGATTCCATTTCATCAAAGGTGTAAACCACTTCAAATAACCCACTTGTGCTTTGCTGATGATCTGATAATGTTTACTAATGGTTCAATCTGTGGGGTGGCTGGAATCAAACGTTTGATGGACAAATTCTATTATATTTCTGGCTTAAGATGCATCCCTACAAAGTGTGAACTATTCTGTGCAGGGATTTCTCAAGAGGGCAAAGAGTGGATATCGTCGTATTTTGAGTTTCCCCTTGGTACTTTACCTGTAAAATATTTGGGAGTCCCTGAGCTCACAAGTAAACTCTCTCGTAAAGACTGCCAAGTTTTGATTGATCACATTACTCAGAAATTGAGGAGTTGGAGAACAAAATCTCTTAGCTATGCTCGCAAGATTCAACTTGTATCTACAATCATTTCAAGTACTTTGCAGTACTGGCTTAATTTGTTTATGCTACCTAAGTTTGTGCTCAAGGAAGTGGAGAAACTTTGCAATGAGTTTCTATGGAACTCATGCGGATGGTGCATGGAAAAAAGCTGTCATGGCTTGGGATAAGTTGGCAAAACCAAAGTAGGAGGGTGGTCTGGGGATTAAAAACTTTGGAATCTGGAACAAGGCATGTATATTAAGGCACATTTGGGATATTTTAACGAATGGAGGCTCACTCTAGGTAGCTTGGGTGACTAGATATCGGTTAAAGCAGCAGGTTATCTGGAATATTGCTCCCAGTTCTGCAGGAATGTGGATATGGAAAAAGGATTTTGAAGTGTAGAAGTCTGGCTTAATATATTATAGGTGTGATGCCGGATATTCTGTGGCAAGGAGAATGGATGGACAGGTATTCAGTTACTAGAGTGTGGCAATCTATCAGGCAACATAGTCTAGAGGTGCCTTGAGCAAAACTGATTTGGGGAAAGGAAATTATTCCTCGTCATGGATTCATTGTATGTTAGCTATGCATGATCGCTTAACAACTCAGGATAAGCTAATTCGTTGGGGGAAACCTGTTACAAGATTATGTTTGTTATGCCCAGGTGGTGTGGAAAGTAAAACTCACATGCTCATGCATTGTTTAGTTCATATACAAGCTGTGTATTGCAGGAGTGTTTGAAGAAGAGTGCTCCTCCTTATATTCATACTTGGGAGGCTTTGGTAGACTGGTGCGTTAAGCAATGGGGGGAGGGGGTGGGGGGCGACTGCTCAGTCCAAAGCTTGCAGATTTAGCTGGTGTGTTGCATTAAGTTGTGTTTGGCGTGAGCGTTGTTTGAGACTGTATGGTGCTCAGCCAGCTAGATCTCATATGAAGAGAGTTCTTGACTCCTGAACTTAGTATAGAAGTATAACAGATAGGTTTACTTAATTTTCACATTTTCACATATATTCTGAAAATATTTCTATTATAAAAGTTGTAGTCCTCGAAAAGTTATGCGAAATGAAAAAAAGTTTGTTACGATCGGATAACCGAGCATAAAGTTAAGGTTTTCAGCCCCACATGGTTCGAGACTTATATCATCGATCTGCGACTAGATCGAGTCTACTACACTCGAACCGGTTAGTAGTTCGAGTTCCTCAAACTCGAACCACTCCAAACTTAGGTATTTTGCGATTTTTTTTTTATAAATGTGGTAGTTTAGGAATTTGTTTTACTTGTATGTGTATTTAGAGAACTATCCCCTTATGGAATAATTCCACTAGACACGTACCTCCAGAAAAGCCCTTCGCCAGAGATATCCCATACGGAAATGTAGAAATTCCTGTGCCTATCTTCATCGTACGCATCGAAAGAAAGACGCTTATCTTCTACCACGAGGTTGCACCAGAAAAGGGTCGCACGAAAGCTGTCCAGCTCGAACTGCCAGCTGATGCTCTCATTAATGGAAATGCCATGAGCACCCATATCGTCGTCTTTCGATTGGCAATGCACTATCAACACCTTGCTGCTCAGCTTGTTGATAACTTCAATCGCCTGCGTCTGGCCGATTGAGGGTCGTGCCATTGTTGCTATTATGGCCGCTAAAACTATGGCTGCTGTTGTACTATTTTGGACGACCAACTGCTTCCTGATCATTGTGATGTATGTTTAATGCTTCCTTTGAAGTGGGTTTAGGGATTTATTTATCACTAGAAAAATGACCCGTGCTCTGCGACGGTATTTAGATATGGACTATCAAATCTGGTTCTTTTAGTCCAAATTATAGCATATAAAGCTTGCAATTGCAAGAGGCATCATAGTTTAAGTTTTCATCATGTTTCAAATTGAAGCAACAACCAATCATCTAATAAACAGAAGATACTCATGCAAAGCAAGACCAAATTTCAAGTGGAAAATGTCATAGATCATCGAAATCATAGTCCAACCATTAAATAAACAAATGGAATTCCATCCCAATTACACAATATAGACACGTTGAACTTGGAGGCTTGAGGTATTTTTGTTTATCACCTAGAATTTGGAGGCTTCACCCACCAAATCCAGTATTCATCCTTGCTCACCGGCTACATAATCAGGCGATCGACTTCCTTTTCTGTGACTCGTACCATCCATTGTTCTTCATTTGTAAGATGCAAAGAGTTGAAATTGGGAGTATTTGCGCAGAAGCTACAACAAGCCACCCCCACGACAATTGTCATGGCGGAAAAGAGCCAAAGAGAAGATAGAATTGAAGGGTTCGGAGGCAAAGGTCCGGTTGGCTGAATTCAACAGAGGTTGCTCTGTCGCTGATTGCACTGTCCGTGCAAGTTACCAACTCTACTCCATGCTCCGACATAAACCCATCACGAAACAGGGGGACCTGCCAATCTGTTGCAAATACATACATGGGGTCAATAATCAAGTATAGATATAACTTAACCTTAGCTATCTTGAGACTTTGGTAACCGATGAAGGATCAATTATCAAGTAGCCTGTTACTTTGCTACCAACCTAGTAATGAGGTGAATAACTCCAATAAATGAAATGGTCTATTTTGCTGCCTAATCAAAACATATAAGTGAATCAAGTGATATCACCTTTATAAACCTTTCTAGCCAACGTTGTTGAAGTAATGTTGTTAATTAGTTCCACCTGTATTAACTTTTCCAAAGCTATAGTTGACCAAAACAACAAACAATTACATCTACAACTAAGTTGTTCAAACCAATTAAAACACAATTTAGAGCATGATTCTACCCTTTTCAGCAGCTCATCAATTATGATTCTGCAGATATAGAAATCAGAAAATGAAAACAGTTCAACTACAGAATTTGAAAACTATTTGATCAAAGTTCTCCACTTACAATGCATAAAGGAAAGAATGAACCTGATTAATAACCTAAGAGTAATTAGTTGGTGCAGACTTGGTCTTACATCTGTCTAGTTATAAGGTCTATAATCAATTATTACCACTAATCCTATTCATGGGTTCCTGGCTCTTAGCTTGATAGAAGGTCTAATAATTTGGACCATCATGCAAACACAACGCTATTATAATTCATATGAAGAACTTTCACCGCCAAGTTACACATAGCATATTAGCATGTATACATGTGTCCTAAATTTATTCTCTGGCTGGTTCCTTAATGGAAACCTACTCTAACTCTCGAATGGTTGCTAGACTTTCATATTAAAGATCCATAAAAATGCGTTCTAATGACCAATTGTTAAGTTCTCAGAAACCATTTAGGGGGGGGGGGGGGGTTTAGTTTTTATTTGAAGACAACACAAACAGCAAAAGGTGAACCATTGATTAGAAATGATAATTCTAACCATACCTCTTTGTGGAGGAAGTGTTGTACAGACCAAGAAGTAGAGTCCTTGTTCCAACTCTTGCTCAGTACTGCAACTGAATTTTATAGTGCCCCTTAATGCAATAGATAATGACTCTAATAAAAAGAATTGGTTCCATATTAATGAGATGCATAAAAGGTGTTCACTTGACCCATACATGAACTGAACAGCAATATATGATACACTAGCTTTTACCCGGCCCGTTGGCCGGTGAGTTTAATTTAACATTTACATTAATTAATTTATCTATATGTTTAAACTATTTTGGATCTTCTAAATTTTTTACATTTGCATTCATGCATTCATTGGTGAGTATGCGGTGCGTCTATAAATTAAAAATTCTCAATACTTAGCACATTCACTTATGATGCTTCGATTCACTGATCATGAATCATGTCACAAAGATATATCACGTCCCATATAGAATCTTATGTCAAGATTTGTCAATAACGATACTCAATTTTTTTTGTCTTATACAATATATGTCATTCAATGAATCTCGAGTTTGGACGAACTCTCAACCAATGATGTTGCTCAGATGACGACAACTCAGTTAGAATTTTTTTATAAAGGTACTTCAATATTACATAAATTTGGTCATCCCAATTGAAAATTTATTGTCTTAGTGTAAGATCATATTTATCTATCAAGACACTCAATTTAATATCTTATACAATATGTACCAATTGTTAATTCCTGAAGTTTAATATAGACTCACCCTCAACTCATGGTCATTGTTTAGATGTTGGTTTAGAATCTTGGTCCAAGATACTCACACACTGTCGAGGGTTCTAATATTAACATGGTCCATTGTTGAATAATTTTCTAACTTATCAAATATGCATTTGCTCAAATTTATTTATCTTTGGTGTTTGTTTTGAGATAAAAATTCCATTACTTATACTAATATCTTCATTTTGTTTGTGTAATGCCACATCTATTGTCAATATCTAAGCATGATACTATACTCTAAGTAAGAAAATGCCATGTGGACCACGAATTAACCGGATTTGTGGGCATGATACTATACCCTAACCCTTAATGAGTGAACCCTAGGTCTTAGTTAATCTAAATCATAGAGCTTAACCCCTAAGATTGTGCATGTAATTTGTTGCATAGATTTAGCTACATTAAATTGTTGCATGTAATTTTTTGCTATTTAATACTTGTTTTCGTTGATGGATACAAACATTAGAAAGAGATAGTGTTTGATAACCAAAACATAAAATTATATAGTTGGTTTTTCAAATTCAATTGATTATTAAATGTTAATTATCTAAACTTTCTTCATTATATTTTGTTGTTAAATTTTTTTATTACTTATCTGTGTGTTTAATTTGTTTTTTATCGAAATATAACATATATTAAGTTCTAATAAAAATAAAAATAAAAATTAATTGATCAGATTTAATCAAATATATTTTTTGAAGCATTACAATATATGTCACTCTCGAAACATAAGTATACTACTGCTACACACACACACATATATATATATATATATATATATATGATATACAATTATTCAATAAAAAATATTAAAAGAAGATAGAGATAGCTACATAAATGATCATTAAAATAAAAAGAAAATATTAAAAAAGATAGATATAGCTACATTAATTGATCATTAACTAACTTTTTTGTTTGTAAAAAAAGTGTCCACCATGGCACCTTGTAAATTCTCCAAATGCTTATGTAGCAACAAACTACTTTTGAATTGCTATAATATTATGTATAGATAGATAGGAGACTCACAGTTTGTGAAAAAATGAGACCATTCTCAAGAATTGAACTGCAATAGATTATCCAATATTTGATGACAATGATTGAAAGGAATTGGTTCCATTTGAACTGACGAATTGCAACTAGTTAATGAATTTTCGTGTATTACATGGAATAGGGTGGATTTGCCTAAAGATTTAGCATTCACCATCTTTTTTTTTTCTAATTGAAGATAAGGCGTTGACTATGACACGACATGGAAAGTCGTCCCTAGATTGATAATAAGGAAATGAAATTTTGGAAAACAAAGAATCACTGGCCTATATAGGCATAAAATACTTCCAAACAAATAAGTCTAAACAGAGAGCCTAAAATATCGGTTACTAACACTTGCACAGCAGCTGGAAATTTGATAGTTTAAGAATGTTCTGTTCATATCTTATTCATTCAAAATATCTCAACTCCTGAGGTGCCTATGAAGAATCGTATATTTAGAATTATTAAACCGATGAATTGAGGCAGAACCAAACAAAACTTAACTAAGCTTTTCCATGTCCATAGATCCTAAGTCAGAGTATCCTTCCTACCCGCCTCGCTCGCCCTCTCACACAAACAACCAACATTCACAACCTGGAAGTCCTAGACACAAACATATAGGGGGACCCAAGACTAAAGAATTCACCTTTGTAGAAGGCAACCTAACCTGGCTCTTCCTCGAGTCGTCTGCCATAGTGCTCTTCCTCGGATTCAGCTCGGTTGGTTGTAGGTTGTCCCAGCTGAAAAATTACACCAATATCCATGGCCCTCATTGGCGGCAGTACCCATGAAATTAACTTTTCATGGCTTCGATTTTACAGATAGGAAAGATTCAGCAGTCCCATGGCTTCCATTCGATTTCACGGTGGTGAGGAACCCTTGATTTAGTAGAGAATAAGCTTGCAACTTCGGTTTCCGTCTTCTTCCCACAACTATTCACGTTCAAAGAGGAGCCTTCAAAATTATCTCTTCCCTCTATCGCTGCCTAGAACCTGCGGCAAGCGCGTGTTCTGCTTCTTCTTGCTCTTTCTCCATCGATATCGGTTTGAGTTAGGATTCATATTGAAGTGATCGAGCAGTCCATATTGTGACCATATTCTTCTTTTTTCGTTGAAAGAGCAGATTCTTCTATTGCGATTGGTGGGAGGAGAAATGGGATCAAATGTTTTCTACTCACTGGTTCTCCAGTTGAGATTGGGCGGAAGAAATAGGGAAGAAAGACATATTTTTTTTAGGTTACAGTGAATGGGAAAAAGGGATTGAAGAGACATTTGAAAAAGAAGAAGGGGTTTCTACCAAAAAAAAGAAGAAGGGAGATGGGTGCTGACTTGTGTGGCCATTTGCACATGAGCCCATGTATCTGAGGAAATTAAAAAGATAATCAACGACCATAACTTGTCTAGCCCAATGAGGTGAACTCAGTTTGTCTAGGAACGCCCACACGCGATTAAAAAAAAACATTGAACAATGCCACGCGATTTTACACATGGTAGTAGTAACCTACCATGGTAGTAGTAACCTACTGCCATCTACCATCGTCTATTTCCATCCTACCACTATGGTAGAGAGTGGTATAGTTGGTCTGAACTTTTTCCCACAGAAATATAAAGAGATGTATATTCTTTGTAGATCATAATGAACCATTTCTATTTATGAAAAAAAAAAAAAAACAAATCAAAATTCGAATGCAACACAACACTTGGGTCGGTACAACTGTACAAGATGGTTCACACTCGCTTTTTTCTACTCCTTTCTTCCACACAGCACTTGGCCGGTACAAGATGGTTCACACTTGCTTAATTTGTTCAATTCTTTTTCTTCCATAAAAAAACACTACTACACTCAGGGGCGGACCCAGGGGGTTTAGGGGTGTCCCTGGACACCCCTAAATTTTAGAAAAACGATTATCCAACGCCCGGTGGTAATTTACGTATGGACAAACAAAAATATAATTGATAGTGAGGGACACCCCTTAAATTTGAAAAAATGATTATCCTACTGTCATTTGTGTATAGGAATATAAGTGGTAGGTTGGATAATTCAAATCTAGAACACTATTATTATTAATAAACTTAATTTCCGTTGAGCTAAACTCATTTGTTGTTCGATTTTGAACAATGTGTAATAGTAAAATGACATTCCCTATCTCTAATTATTTTAAAAACTTAACAATTAAACTAATTTCAAACAATCCTTCATTTGTATTGATTTTATGATTGTACGACAAGTGTTGAAAGAGTCTTTCAGCTTTGGGTTACATCAAGAACAAGTTTACAAATCGAATATGAGATAAGTTCGTGAATGATTGTCTAGTAGTGTATATAGAGACAATTTTTTTAACACATAGACACCAAGTGTATTCTACAATTATTTTCGACTATGAAAACACATCATTGACTTTTTTAACCTGTACGAGTAAGGTATTTTCATATTTACAATTTTATTTTTATTAAATTTATTTTTAAAAGAGGACACCCTATAAAAAATTTATGGGTCCGCCACTGACTACACATGGCGGTTCTCACTTGCTTTATTAATCTTTCGAATCTTTTTGGCACAATATAGTAAACGAGCCACAAAATTAAAACACAGAATAATTTATAAACCAATTGAAACAGATAAACAACATATATAAAAGACACCCAAAAAACTAACAACTAGAAGACACTGACAAAATAGAAACTAGTAAATTCCCGCAATTCCGCAAACCAAATATATACCGTGGTCGTGATTTTATCTTGCGAAAGATAAAGTTAAGTTACGGAAAGGTAATTATAGGGCTGTACATATGACTCAAGATAGGTTCATAACAATTATAAGTAATTAAATTTGGACCATTTTTTTAAGTGGTTGCAGATCTAAGGATGGTGAATTAAATGAATATTTTCTATAGTTTTATTGATTGGATCATATTTTCTTCATTCTAACTCGGATTTCAAATTTTTTTTTTGCACAGATGGAACGAGTTCGTTGTGCTCTACAAAATGATATCAATTTGCAATATTTTTTTGAGAAAAAAATTTCATACCTCTCGTTACCAACTCCATACCATTTGGTATATCCTTCGTTTTTAGTCGTTTTTGAAAATATTTGCTCAGAAGGAACGAGTTCATCATAATCTATTAATTCTAAAAATTTCTGGGTGAATAAATAGAGGACCAAAAATTATCATACTTTACCACTCTGGTATGGGGGCGGTAACTTGTGATAAACAATGATGAAAGTCGTAAATGACAGTTAGTATACTCCTACTATCATGTATTCAACCTTCTTATACTCTTTGTATGTTTATACAATCACGGTACACTTTCTTACCATATGATATGCTCCTATTTAATATCATATGGTATTGATTGATAAAAAATGCCTCATTTTTTTCTCTAAAAATATATCAAAGTGGATATCATTTTAAAGAGCACAATTAATCTTATTTATCTGTGCAAAAAAAATTTAAATTCCGACGGAAACGAGAGAGAAATCATCCGTCAAAGATGAAAGGGGAAAAAATAAAAGGTTTTCCATGAAAAAGAGGGATTCTAATGTGTACGGATTACTCATGATTACTCACTCTAAAGTTACTGACCTGATTCGCTCTTGTCAGACATATAAAAATCTTTTCATTTTTCATTTGTGATTTTACAGTGATGTATATTTTTATACTTTTCTATTCTATCGTGGTCCGTGAGCGGGCTAAAAATCTAATCTAATCACATAGTATAAGGCAATTGTATATTGACATGTGTGGCATTGGAAAACCACAAACCAATTTTGGAATGGGACGGGAGAAGTACTTCATGTTATCTTTTTATGGCAACGTGTCAGTCTCATGTTGCGTTTATGAGATCCTATTTTTGGCAAAACCCACAAAACGAATCTTGGTCCTTGGACTAGATAGGGTTTTCTATCTATAATTACTATATAGAAGATTGGCAAGGCCAGGGTCGCTTCTCTCCCTCACATAACCCTAATCCAGCTAGCAAGCTAGAGCAGTAAAAAAAAAAAAAAAAAAAATGAACCGTCCTGTATCGACACTGCCAGAATACTTTGCCCTCAAGAGCAAGTCCAACGGCAAGTACTTGAAGTACCGTCGCGACGATCCCAAGGCACGCGCCGTGCTCCAATTCTCCGGCGACGAGCTCGTGGATGTTCTCGTCAAGTTCTTCTCAGATGGAGTCACCGGGCACGATGGGGGAAGCTCCACGACGTACCACTTGAGGTGCTGCTACAACAAGAAGTACTGGCAGAAAGCCAGCCAGGGCGAGAGCCTCATCATCGGAGGAGGAGACACTCCTGATGACAACAGCACGAAGTGGTCGTGCACGCTCTTCAGGCCCGAGTTCCAGGAAGAGGGAGTCGCCAGACTGGTACACGTCCAGTCTGGCGGCTACCTCGGTCGTGGCTCCTCTGACCCTGCTGCTGGCCCCGATTGCTTGATCGTCGTGGCAGCAGCAGAGCGCGCGGAGGTGTGCGAGGTGGTGAACTACAGGGAGGCGGTGGTGACGCTGCCTAAGTTGGTGGCGTTCAAGGGAGACAATGGCAAGTACCTCAAGGCTTCCCACATTAAACCAATTATAATGCAGGGTGGGATGCTGAAGATGAATGCCCCTACTTACAAAACACTCCAGTTCACCGGCGAAAAACTTTCCGACCCGTCGGTGTCCCATGAGGTGTTTGTGAACCCGGCGGATGCTACCATTTCCATCAAATCCGGTTCAGGAGGAGATAAAGGGTTCTGGAGGCGGAACGAATACGTGGAGAACAGGATTTTCTTGGTGGAGTCTGAAAGTGATCGCCCCGACTTTCACGACAAGGAAACGCTGTTTAAGGTGCACAGATTGCACCCTTCGGAGCCGCTCTATGGTCTTACAAGCTGCGGCGCTAATAATATGCCCTGCAAGCGAGTCGATCACCCCACGTACCGCCATTGCCTCCGAGCACAAGACGTAGACGTGGAGCCGTACAACAAACTCTTGGTGGAGGAGCCCATCGTTTGGAGGCGCATGTACGAGGCTGATTTCAAGACGGCGGACGCCAGAGTCTACCCGGTGGAGCAGCCAAAAGTCGAGGTGCTGATTCATCCAAACGAGACCACACAAGTCTCCAAGGTGAAAGTACAGGTTGGGAAGACAGAGAGCCATGCTACTTCTTGGAGCAACAGTTATGGCTGGAAGATAGGCGGCTCCGTTGAGCTGACCACGGATTTCACAGGGATTCCGCTCGTGAAGGAAGCAAAAGTCGTGGTTTCGGGCGAGCATTCGGAGGAAAAAACCGAAGGAGGATCCCAGGAAGAGAGCAAGAGCTCGGCGGTTGAGGTCGAGATCCCCGTGCCTCCTAAGAAACAGTTGAGAATTACGACGACGGTGACCAAGACGGCCTGTGACGTCCCTTTCGATTACTCGTACACCGAAATGCGTCACGATGGCACGACGGCGGACCTGCGGGTCCAAGACGGCCTCTTCACTACTACCACATCCACGACGGTGGTTGCGACCAAAGAAGAAGAGCTGGGGACCAAGTGATACATATACCACTAGCTTTAACATGAAAGTTATAGATTCGAATCCCGTTAGTAGGGGTTCACATCAGGTGATTAGGAGTTCTTTAGCCACGTGATTAAGTCAATCTCAATTATTGAATTTTATTAAAATCTAATGGTTCAAATAAATAGGTTAATGAAAAGTAAGGTAGTAATTACATAATTTATTTATTTAACCATTAAAATAACAAACAAAAAAGTTGGGCCACTGGCGCAACCGCTGTTCCTCTCCTCCCGGCGGCCGATTATTTTTCCCCGATGCCGTTGGGATATTTGGCCCGCCATTTTTTTTGCCCGCCGGCTAGTTGCTTACGGGGAAATCTCCCGCCATAATGGAGACATCACTTTTGCTGGGGAATTCCACGAGAGAGAGTGTAGGGATGGAGCCTTTTGGATGAAACTCCTCTATGTAGGGATGGAGCCTCCAAAGTCAACTCGGATGTTTTTTCTAGTTTGTATGGATTGTCGATTTAGTTTATCATTTTTGTCCACCATGTTCGTAATGTTTGTGTGTCTAAGAAACAACCGGGTTGACTTTGGAACGGAGACCACTATATAGGGATGGAGCCTCTAAAGTCAACCCGATTGTTTTTTTTTTGTATGTTTTGTATTGTTTGTCGATCCAGTTTGTATTCTTTGTACATTTCAAACATTTGTAATGTTTGTATGTTTTGTCGTTGTAGTTTGTACTGTTTGTATGGTTTGTACTAATTATAAGTTGGGTTTGCATACTTTATAATTTTTCATAATACCCAAACTACCCCTATCATTAATTAAATAGCCCTTCCAACTTTTTAACCATTAGATTGTTGTGTCCAGATCTAAGGGTTGGGAGAGGCTTAGTCAAGTGACTAAGCACCCCCTTTAGTCACAGGATCCGGACTCCCGTTAGTAGCACCTAAGTATTCTTTTAAAAAAGGCGCTCGGGTGTTTTCTCAATTTCCTTTTCAAGAATCCCTATGCGTACATACATCACTGCAATGTTGTTATAATTCGCGACCGTCTTCATTGTGGGATTTTTCCAGAAATAGCACCTTTAAAAAATTTACAAAAATAGCACCCAATCCATAGAAATTACAAAAATAACACCCTTTTTTAAAAACCGCACCTTAGAGGTGCGGTTTGATTGTGAATTGCACCCCCTGGTGCGGTTTGTATGTAAACCGTACCCCCAAGGTGCGGTTTAGCATTCTGGGCCAAAACCGCATCTTGCCCATGCGGTTTGTGTGTCTGACCTAACCAAACCGCATGGCCTAGATGCGGTCTTGTGGCGACCTAGCAAAACCGCACTTTGGGGATGCGGTTTTGCTTCTCCAAAACAAACCGCACCCTCAAACTACGGTTTTGGCAACACAAACCGCACCCCCCTAATGCGGTTCGTGTGTCATTTATTTTCTGACACCAAACATATAGCCATGCAGATTGACAGACGTGTGGGCTGCATGACAGATGAAAATCACACTTCTAAGGTGCGGTTTTCATTGATGATTTTGCCTATAAAAACAGTCTGGGAAACCTCTTCTCTTCACACCTCTCCTTTTCCCTTTTCAATTTTCCGTTGTAGCTCCCTACTTCTCTAGTGTTTTTGCGGTTAACGTTAACTCATAAGTTTATTTTGTATTACTTTTTATTGTGAATTGTGAATTGTGATTTTTATGATATTAGTTGAACTACTTTTTTTTGCAGATGGTATTCCAAAAGTTCACGCTTGGGTTACGGTGGAATGGTTACACGGAAGAGAGCGGAAAGGGGGTCACCTACGTCGGTGGCAATTTTCAGAAAATAAAGGTCGCTACCAGACCGATGCTTGAAGACCTCTATCAAATGTTTACTAACGTTACTTGCATGGATGGCACGAGAAGAGTTGATCGTATGGTGTACCGATATCAAAACAGAGAAGGCGGCGGGTCTTTGTGGCACGAGTAATATATCATAACCACTCAGGATGAGGTAGATGCTATGCTCGAATTCTTGAGGTCCAACAATCTTTCCAAAGCCGAGATTTTCGTTTACACCGAGCCGATCGTAGGCGTTGGAGGTCATTCTGGAGGCGGTCAAACATCTAGTATCCATGGTGGAGGTGAATTATATGGAGATCATCCCTACCAAAGTTACCATGATCCTCATTCCTATTTTCAGTACCAAGAGCAAGGTGAAGGTCATCATCAATCTTTCCCGTCACATGAAGAAGAAGTTCAACCGGACCATGCCAACCACTCGTCATCAATCTTTCCCGTCATATGAAGAATAATTTAATCGAATACAATGCAACACTCATTAGACTCTTAGAAGAGGTATACATCTTCTTAGAAACGCAGCCTTTTTGATAGAAAAAGGGGGGATCCGTGGATCCCTAAATACCCAATTTTCTCAGGAAATGGGAGGATCATGATAATCTCTTAAAACCCCATTTCCTTAGATGTGGATCTCTTTATAAAGAGTCGAAGTAAGTGGTGCTATGTAATCGATTAAATTATTGAAAATAACCAATATGATTAAATTATTTTATATTCCACTAAGTACATTAGCAAAATAAAAGAAAGACAAATGATGAAGAATTGTATGTACCTAGTGATCGTTCCAAACATCCCTTGAACGATGGTTGGTTTGGTCGTACAAGTCGGTTGGATCCAATGCAGTTAAAAGCACGATTCTACCTAGAAGCGGGAAATGGGTAAAATCGTAAAACGTAGAATCAAAGCGTAAAATCGTAAGTTTTTGACACACCCTCTAAAATAGCTAAAATAGATTAAGTACAACATATAGTATGTAAAATGTGAGTGTGTAGATTTTAGATAAGTGGATAACTACATGAAATTCATAATTAAAATGTAATATCTAACACATAATATCCAACTTGGATCAATAGGTCATTGATCCAAATAATAGCGTTGGTTGTATATAACAAAAACAAAAATTAACCAGAATAATGAGTACGTACCGCTTGAAATTCGTCATAATAAACTTCCTCTCCTTGGAACCACTCCTCCATTTTTTCGCGAAAGTCGGACAGAAATTCGGCGGGTTTTGAGGAAAAAACCAAAGAAATGTTTTCTGATGGCAGATCGGACTTAGCCGCAACCAACAGACCACTATTTCCTAGGCTTTTGGGAGGGGAGGGGTTAGAGAGATAATTTTAGAGAGAGAGTGAATAATGGGTTGTGGTGTGAAGAAATTAGAGGGGGAGGGGTATTTATACTACTCAGACCACACCATCCAGGGGCGGTCTGGTAATTTTGCCCTGCCAGAAACCACACCCTCCCGATGCGTTCTACGAGGATCGAGGCGCTGACCGCACCTGTCAGCTGCGGTCTTTGATCCGTGGCGAGGATCGCTGAGGTGGCAAGCTGTCCGCCGCTGGATCGCCGCCTGATCCTGCGGTCTCCAAGCCCGCTCCCGAAAAAACACAGACCACATCTTCCTTGTGCAGTTCCCAGTCTGACATGGCGCAAAACGCACCTCTAAGGTGCAGTTTATATATAAAACACACCTGGAGGGTGCGGTTTGATAAAAATGGTGCTAGTTTTGTAAATTTTGTGGGCTGGATGCTATTTTTGTAATATTTTTAATAGGTGCTATTATTGGAAAAATCCTCTTCATTGTCGACTTCTAATGATATGGATCAAACTTCTTATTTTGGGAGCGGATCAGATCAGTAACCTTAGGGTGACTGGGTGAGTAATCATGAGTAACCTGCCCACATCAGCATCGCTCTCTCTCCTGGAAAGCTTTTTATCTTTTCCCCTTTAATCTTTAACGAAAGAATTCTCTTTCGTTTTAAGTCGGAATTTAAATTCTTTTGCACAGATAAATCAGATTAATTGTGCAATTCAAAATGATATCCACTTTGATATATTTTTAGAACAAAAAAAATTGAGACATTTTTTACCAGTCAATATCATATAGTATTAAATAGGAGCATACCATATGGTAAAAAGGTTGAACACATGATTGTAGGAGTATACTAACTGTCATTTACAACTTTCATTATTGTTTACCACAAATTACCACTCCCATACCATAGTGGTAAATTATGGTGATTTTTGGTTATGTTATTTTTTCACCGAGAAATTTGTAGATTCAACAGATCATGATGAACTCGTTCCTTCTGAGCAAACGTTTTCCAAAACAACTTAAAAACGAAGAAGTTACCATATGGTATGGAGTTGGTAACAAGAGCTATGCAAGAAAATTTCTCAAAAAATAATTGAAAATTGATATCATTTTGTAGAGCACAACGAAGTCGTTCCATCTATAAAAAAAATTGAAATCCGACTTAGAACGAAGAAGATAAGACCAGATTAAAGAAACTAGGAAAAATAAAATGCCTTTAATTCACAACCCTTAGATCTGAAATTTTTGGACCCACTTAGATCTAAAGGTCCAGATTTAGTTACTCACCCTATCTTGAGCCTCTTATTTTACTCCTATAAACTCTAGTATTTATGGAAGCAATTGGGAATAAACAAAGGTCACAAATGCATTTGATTTAAGAAATGGTGGATTCATGCATTGGATCAAATGGTTCGACAGATCGATTGGACAATGGATCCATATAATATCTAAATATTGTATCAATATGCTAAATCCGAAAAGTCAAATCAATAAGATGTCACAACAAGAAATTGCACGAACCAAATGTAACTTTTCAATGGTATTTTATGTTGAAAATAAAGTTTATGTATCAAAATATAAAATATAAAAATTATAGGTACTAAATGGATTGGATCAAATACATTGGATTCAAATTGTTTGAATTAAGTGGATTGATAGGATGCATGGATTTTTTGAACAACAAAAAGAGTAAAAGGGCTGAAACTGAAATAAAGATAATGCGGTATTTCTAAAATATTCCGACGCTTTTAAGAGAATCATAATCAAGTCGTGTATCTCCACCAATTCACGGGGTTGAATGGTATCCCATCCACTGATCCATCTACTTTCCCCTTTTGGAATATCTCCTTGTTTTCCATCGTCTTTTTCACTTTTTAGATCTATTTACACCTAGGGATGGCAATGGGTCGGGTTGGGTCGGGTTTTGCCAAACCCAAACCCATGGGTTTATTCGTGAAAAAAACCCGGGGTAAAACCCACTGGGTTTGAAAAACTCAAACCCAACCCAACCCGCTGGGTATCCGTGGGTTCATGGGTACCCAAGGATTTTTGTCGTAGAAAATTTACAATAACAAGTTCCTATCAAAATCAAAGTCAAATATCAATCTCTCAATACAAATTATCCATATATAAAACACCATTCTAGAAAATTCAAGCACATCACAAATATACTATACAAATTGTTCAACACCAATCTAGAAAACTCAATAAAATTGAAGCAAATCACAAATTATCCATAAATAACATGATTAATTGAAAGAATTAAGTTTCTTCATTCTCCACTCGATGACATCAACTTCATTCTACACGATTAGAAAGAAAAAATTAGACATGTCTCCACAAACATAAATAAGATTAGTTGTTTATAATATTAGATATACCGAGAAAATTAACTATATGGGTGTGGGCGGGTACCCATGGGTCGGGTTTACCTAAACCCAAACCCAACCCAACCCGGTGAATAGTGAACGGGTTTAAACCCAAACCCGGCCCAAAACCCGTCAAAACGGATTTTACCCGCGTTGACCGGGTTGGGTCGGGTGGGTACCCGTGGGTTTGGGTTTTGCTGCCATCCCTATTTACACCTAAAATATTTTTGGCTCAAATATTAAATTAATGCGGTGTCCCAGGGCCAACGATGCCGCAAGCTAAACAATCGCGACGGAGAGCGATGTCAAGTTCAGCGGCGTCGCAAGATCAACGGCGCCGACGATGCCGCGATCTAAACAGCATTGAGGTGGAGCGCGATGCCGCGGTCACGAGTTCGACAACGTCGCGAACTAAATACTACGAGTTCAGCGGTAGGTGTCAATCCTGTTGTTGCAGTTGCAATGATGTTTCGATTTCGATCGCGTCACGACATTGTTTAGTCAATACAGTGGCGATCAGGTCAAGTCTATCTGTATCACGAATCCAAACTCAACGAGACCCGTGAGATGCAACAACGTCGCGGAGTTAATCAGTGTCGCGAAGCCAACACCACCGTGGATCTTAACGGTGTTGTAAGTTCAACAACATTGTGGATTCAATGACTTCTCGAGCTTAGCGATGTTGGGAATCCAATGGCAGTGTGGGATAAAACAACAGTGTTGTTTAATTGACAGCGGGGTCTTGTTAGTTGTTCATATCAACGACATCGTTTCAGCGAATTTGTTGTTGAAGGAGTAAACGACGTCGCGAGCTCATGAAAATGACATAGTTGTTTTCTTTCACGTGAGATTTACGCCAAGCAGAATGGAGATAAGAGCGAGGCGGTTACGAGGAGGTTCGACAGAGCAGTTACTTGAAGACTACAAAGATGTGTGATAAAACCAACCCTTCGAGGAGAGAAGGAAAGGGGAGAACCAACATCAAACATAGAACACATTTGTCAAACTTATCATTTTCTCTGTAACTCCCTCGCGGAGCTCTCCTTCCAGAAAGGATCCTCATAGTTGGTAGAAGTAGTCGTAGTCGCGGAGCTCTCCACAGGAATCTCCATAGGAGTAGATCTAACGTAGATTCCCCAAAAAACTCAAAAACCCTCCTTCGAACATTATTTGAAGAGGTGTAAACCGAGTCACAATCGTCTTGGTTAGAAGTCAGAGGTCAATTCAATCAAATCAACATCGTCGTTTGGCACGACGACGATGGTATTTGGTCCGAAGACAGTAGTGCATCCATTCAATCGGCACCGCAAAAAATTTCACCGAAACAATCAAATTAACATCATCCGAAACAACTTTGGCACCAGAGGTGGACATTCGGTTAACAACCATGTTTTGATCAAGTCAGGTAGTTGCAAACTTCGAACTTACAAAAATTATAAGAAATTTATTCAATTCATTTGATGTATACATTTATGTTTTGAATAATTTGCATTCAGTTAAATGTTCAAAAGATCAATTAGCGATCACGTGGGCATGGTCGCTAATTGAAACATGGTTATTTAGAAATTGTTTATTAGGTCAATATCGGGCAAAACTGCAATCACAAAATGATATACTTTAAGGTAATTGGTTACGCCTATAAAGGCAGGATTGGGACCATTTAGGCTGAGATCACGCCTTTCCTTAGGTGCAAGCGAACTCCTTTCCAGCCATAGGGGTCCAGAGGCGGGGTCTCAGACACTCTCCAATAATTAAGTCAGTATTTTAGTAAGATAAAGTAGATAGAGAATGGGGTAGGTCAGTTACCAATAAATGATGTGTGTGAGTTGTATTTATTGTGGATGGCTGTTTGTACGGGCATTTAATGCTCCTTCATGCGTGTACCTTTAACTTCCTTTCCTGAGGTTATGCTTGTGACCGCATTTAATGTTTATGTCAGCTATCTCATGATTATATCTACCTTTGTCCCGTCGACTGTACTTTGTCTGCTTTCCGCTCTCGGTTTCATGGCTCCTCTCCTCATCTTACGCTCCACGTCGTTATGTACCTATGACCTCTCCTTGAATGGGCCTATTGGGCCGAGGCTTTAGGGAGTAAACCATATCCAGCCCAACAATTGTCCCGCAGGCGGGAAAAACCTTGGGGTTTTGGCGGCTGAATCTCCATGCTTAGGGTGGGTTTACTTCCTAAAGCCTGGGTCCATATTCCCAGATGGTCTTCTCCCCAGCCGCCTAATCTTAGGGATAGCACACCTAGGGTTGCTTCGTCGTGCTGCCTGTTCGCCCGTCCGCCACATTTGACAAGACGTCATATCATGTTCCCTTTTTGACACTTGTCCTTCGGTATTTTGAATTTGCTATCATTACCCCTATATAGGCTCCTCGATTCTCGATATACTCACAACTCGTCTTCTCCTACTTGCTTTCTTTTAAAATCCCGGATGATACTTCAGATTTGTTAACTTTTCTTTCTCCTCACTCTATCTGTTGCTTTCTTCGTTATTCACACTTATCGACCGCCGTCGTCGTCTTTAGCGACTTGTTTTCTATTCTCACCATAGCCTGTTGTGGTCGGTACGAATTTCAGCGTCATTTAGTCATGCCAAGCGGAGATTCCAGCACTTTCGTTCCTTCCCAGTCTGGCATGGACCAACGTCACTGACGACCCTTCAACCACCGCCACCGGTGGCCCCGCTAATGCTGCTAGTGGCAGCGCTACCAACACTGGGTCCGTCGCTGTGGCCTCGGATCTAAACCCCGCTATCCACGCCATTGTGTTTGAATCGTCGAAAACCTTATCCGGCCCGGTCACTACTGTCGCGAAAGGTATGCTCGATTTGAATCTCTCGCCCTTTAGTCTGTCCGATATTGATTGGGACTTGAATGAGATGGGTTTAGATTTTGGGGGTTCTTGGTCCGATGATGGCTGTTTTTTCTTAGGTCAATCTGGGGGTGGTATGCTTGAAATTACGGATGCGAATCTGGGGCTGGGAATTAATCCTGTAGGTCTTAGGGGAAATTTGTCGGCTATGGGAGATAACCTGGGGTGGTTTGACGATTATGTAGCCGCGAGCGTGAGCTCGAAGGAGGGCCTAAGCATTGAGGATATGAATTTCGCTGATTACCCCTCGTCATCGTCCGTTGATCTTCCCGGGGAGACCTCAGACAGTGACTACTGTGCTCTGGAGGATGATGCGTATGATGTCCGACTTCATGCAAATATGTGGGGTAAAGGAGACATTCCTGCCCGAGCTTTTGATTATGGGCCGGACAAGTACAACAAGCGCAGGCCTCAGACCGTTCTATCTCGCTTGCGGGCTTACAACTTACCGACTGATTGGAAATACGCCTCCCCCTCACCGAACGCTTGAGCGGGCACCTACCCCAAGGGGTGGATCACCATCTATATAGAACAGCTGATGCTTGGGTTGCGTTTCCCGCTTGACGCCATTATTATGCAGACGCTCTTGTGCTTGAATTGTACCCTAGGGCGTTTATCCCCTACGGTTATATTCCATGCTTGCGCGTACCGTCTTCATGTATGGCCTTAGGAGTTATCCAATGTCTGGTCATTCGGGAGGCGTGAGAAGAAGTATGGGTTCGTTACCGGTACACCCAAACTCGATTCCCCCTGGTTCAAAGATTTTCACTATGCGAGGCCCACAGTAAGTGGTATACTGGTGACAAAGAACCAAGAAAGGGATATGCATATGGGAGGCGGGAGAACTGGAATGCCAAGCTATGGTTGTTGGAGAATCAAGTGACCCATGTCTTAAGTATTGTTGAGCGATCATCCTTTTTTATGGCGCCTAAGGGTCCTTATTCTGTCGATGCCATCCTGACCGAGCTCTTCGGAGATGGTCAGTAATAGTTGATCATTGTTTTTCTAAGACTAGCACACACTGTATGCGTATTGACCGCTCTCTTTCTTTGCAGCTATGGATTTTGGGAACGTGGCACTACTGTCAAGGCCTCCTTTGCGTGCGAAGCTCGGCAACGCCAAGGCGGGGAATGTGTCTGCCGTTGTTGCTAAGCCTGGCTCGTCCTCTGATGTTCCCACAAAGGTGCTGGTTCCTCTCAGCAAGCATGCTGGATCCTTAGAGCAAACCACTCTTGCCGGCGGCGTTGACGGCGTGCTGCGCGTGAATACATGAGCCGAGTTGGTAAAGAAGGGGTGTGACACTAGGAAGCGAAATATGGATCATCCCGCCGACGAGACTGAGAAGAAGAAGGCTAAGGCAACCGCTCTCACAAAGAGTGTTGCCTTTCCCCCCACTCCTTAATGCGGGAGGACTGTGCGAGGAGGATGCTGCTCACTTTCTTCTGACCGTATGTTGATTATTGCCCTCTTAATCTTTCAACTTGGTGATGTCGCTAATACTATGCTTTTCTCGCAGGCTAGAATTGGTCTATCCCAAGTTGGGATGATTAATGAGAAGCTGCAGATGGGCAATCTCCAAGGGGCTAGCGATTTAGAGAAGCTGCACAAAAGGATTGGTGAGCTGGAAGCAGAATCCTACAAGGGGCGTGCGGACTTCCGCGCCGAGGCGCAGACAGAGGTGGAGAAAGAGCATGGGTAATTGGTCAAACAGCTTCGATTCGACGTGAATCGCGGCATTGAGAAGGTTAACAGTCTCTTGGCTGATAAGGAGATTCTAATGAGTGAGGTATCTCAGCCGAAGAAGTGTAATGAAGAGTTGGAGAAGTAGAGGAAAGAGACGGCCTTGAGGCACGCCACTAAGGTTGGGGCCGCCGTTAAGTCCGCGGTTGCAAAGTATCTTCTATCCCCCGCCTTCAAGGCAATAGATGAGGCTAAGCATTCCAAAGTGATGGCAGATACCATGGATACAATTCGCCATCAGTTTCGTCGTGAGCATCCGGAGCTGGAGTGGAAACAATGAACAATGCCCGTGAGCGGGTTTTTTATTTTTATTTTTAACATTAATTTATTTACACCCTGGGCGTTTTTATTTCCTTCCACTTTGGTGCATATCGCGTTATCGCGTTATTTGCCTCGGTGGCATTTGGATCAACCCAAGTCACATGATGCGTTTAAAAGTCGGAGTCTCGATCTGTCTCGGGGTGGCGCGTTATGAGCGAGCTCATCCCCCTGAGAGCGCCAAAAATATGGTACTCATCAGGGCAAGATACTTGATGCACCAAACATCACTCTTGCTTCTCCAAGCACCATACCTGCAAACAAGAAAGCTCGTCCTTACTGCACCTACTGCAAATCTCAAGGTCATGTGGTAAATGTCTGCTTCCACAAACATGGTTGGCCACCAAGGATGCCTTCCAGAATAAACAATCTCTCTGCTCGATCTATTGAATGCTCCTATTGCAAAAAAAAAAAAACTTGGACATTCAGAGGATAAATGATATTCTAAGCATGGATATCCACCCCATTCTACTAGTCCTGGCCGAGGCAATCCAAAAGGAAGACCATATGCTAATTCATCTTATGTGGTTGATTCCAGCCCATCCACAGAAGAATTCAAGCTGACTAAGGCAGATTATGATCGTTTACTGGCCCTAATGAGCACAAAATCTGAGCAACCAAGTGGACCCATCTTCTCAGCTGCAGCTTTCATTGATCCTCCTGTAAAATGCTCAGGTAAATATTCTTTCAGCACTCCTTCTAGGCAGCCTTATAGTCAAGCTTGGATTCTAGATACATGGGCTTCAGACCACATTGTGTGTTCTCTTAACCACCTGCATAATCCTAGCAAAATCCATAGTGTGTGCATCACTTTACCTACTGGCCACCAAGTCCAAGCAACCCACACAGGGACTGTCAAGTGTTTTCCAGACCTGACACTTTAGGGATTGTTGTTTGTTCCTCAGTTCAGCTTCAACCTAGTGTTAGTCAGCAAACTGACCAAGAACAAGTCCTATGTTTGACATTCTACTCTGATGTATGTTTGATTCAGGACATGCGGCTGAGGAGGATGGCTGGTTCTGCTAAGCTGTTTCATGGCCTTTACCTCCTAGACCATACCCCCATAGACACCAAACCAACACACATCACAACTGCTATTACACAAGCTTTTTACCTCTGGCACTTCAGACTAGGCCATGTCTCTCATTAAAAAGTTCCACTTTTGAAACAATTTTGTACATCCATAGGGACAAACAGAAGCCAGACCAAATTCTACTTCTAGTCATGATGGTTTTAAGTACTTTCTCACCATTGTAGATGACTATACTAGAATGACTTGGATAATTCTTTTATCAGCCAAATCAGAAGCCAGACCAAAAATGCAGGCCTTCTGCACTCATGTGGCAACTCAATTTCACACAACACTCAAAGGAATTAGGAGTGATCAGGGTAGAGAGTTTCAAATGACAGATTTTTCAACCAAACTGGGATTATTCATGAACAATCTTGTGTTGAAACCCCACATCAAAAAAGTAAAGTGGAAAGAAAGCACCAACGCATTTTAGCAGTTGCCAGAGCCCTTAAATTCCAAGCTCCCTCCTGATTTCTGGTCAGATTGTGTAAAACATGAAGTCTATTTGATCAATAGAGTTCCCACCCCAGTTCTAAACAACTTAACTCCTTACCAAAAGCTCCACAACAAACCCCCTGACCTCTCAAATCTCAAGGTTTTTGGTTGTATGTGCTTTGCCAGAACACTCACAAACCATAGAACCAAATTTGATTCTCGTGCTAGGAAAGGTATCTTCATTGGTTTCACCCAAGGCATTAAAGGTTACACTCACAAACCATAGAACCAAATACTGATGCTCTAAAACACAACACCTAACAAAGGCCAAGTGTAACCAATGAAAGGGACTGCAGTATAGTGGCTCAAGTGATAAATATCGAATCCACGGGTCTCTAGAGTTACTATTACTCAGCTTCAGTTTATTATTTAGCAAATCAGATTAAGATGAAAGAACTAAAACTACTCTAGCAAACTACAGTTAAAGTTAATCTAATTACAGGTTGGGAACTCACTTAGGTATGATTCCCCCTAGCCACTAGCCAGATTAACGATTGATGATCTCTAACCTGTTTCACTTTCATTCACAATGCGGAGAATCCTTGACTAGACCTTGAGTCTCGACTAAAGGAGCAAGGCCCTCTTGAGTCAATTGCCTAGAGGGACGTATCCTTCTCTAGAACAACTGATCAAGGCGTTCTGAACTAGACTCCCTCTATCGAAAGGGGTTCTCAATCGATACAAAGCAGTGAATCAACCCTCGACTAAAGCAATCGATCCACTACTATCAATCTATGGTGCTCTATTGACCTAATCAGGTATTCCCTCTCATAGAATCAAAGCAGAATCAATAATCTCGACTAAAGCAGAATTGAATCATGAAAACATGCATAGATTGAATATGAACTCAAGATTATCAAGTCAGAGTACTCATACAATCATCCAATCAAACAAACATAGCTAGGGTTCCTCAAAACCTAAGTGAAGGGAAGTTACTCCATAGAGAAGAGAGAGACTGCAGTAAGAATCTTCAGATGATCAGTCTTCAAGTCCGAGCTTGTTCCTCGAGCTTCCAAAGCGAAGAAATCCTCCAATTCCACTCTTAGAATGCCCTCAGATCGCCCTCTCTCCCTTTGGTTCGTCCCTTGGGTGTTTTGGATCCAAAACCCAGCTCTCCTCCTCTTTGGTTCGGAATTTGGCTTAAAACCAGGAAATCCCGACTCACACGGGCAGGGCCACACGGCCGTGTGGCCTACCCAGTTGCCCGTGTGAGGCAAAACGCACCGTATCACTTAGTCGAATTCCAGGCTTCTCACACGGCCAGAGTGGCACGGCCGTGTGTGACTTCCATCTGCCCGTGTTTGCTCTCGGCAAAACTCGCACGGCCAAGCCACTCCTTCACACGGCCGTGTGTGTTGTCAGGGCAGGCCGTGTTTGCTCTCGCACAATCTCACACGGCCAGAAATATGAGTTGCACGGCCGTGTGATTTGTGGGTGTGCTCGTGTGGCCTCCTTTGTGACTTGCCTCGTGCCCGATCTTCGCCCAATCGACCCCGAGCTCGCTCCTAAACCTTCATTCACTTGCCAGGACCTGAAATATCACAAACAAGCACAACCTAGCGTGAAATCGGTCTAAAACACGAGAAACCACATCTCAAACGGTGTAAGAACAGGGGTAAAAACATGTGTAATTAACGGTCTATCACATACTCAAATTCCTCCCTGATGGTTCCATAGAAAGATACAAATCTAGGATCGTAGCTAAGGGGTACAACCAACAAGAAGGAGTTGACTACCAGGACACATTTGCCCCATTTGTCAAAATGACAACAATCAGACTCTTCCTTGCAATTGCAGCCTCTCAAACATGGCACATTCATCAACTAGACATCAACAATGCCTTCCTACATGGAGATATTGAGGAAGACATCTACATGACTCTACCCCCGGTTACAAAGCTCCACCAGGATTTAAAAACCCTGTCTGTAAGCTCAGAAAGTCACGCTATGGTCTTAAACAAGCATCTCGGCAAATGGTTTGCAAAACTAGCAGAAAAATTTCAAACTTAGGGCTACATCCCCAGTAAAGTTGATCATTCCCTATTCTACAAAACTACATCCTCCTCCTACACCTGTGTGCTTGTCTATGTTGATGATCTAGTGATTGGTGGTACTGACCTCAATGAAATCACTAGCTTAAAGTCATTTCTACACCAACAGTTCAACATCAAAGACATGGGACAACTACATTTCTTCCTAGGCATTGAAGTTGCCCGAACCAAGAAGGGCATTCACATTTCCCAAAGGAAGTACACACTGGACATAAATAGAGGATGCTGACCTACTGAGTTCTAAGCCTGTTAGCACCCCTATGGACTACAAGAATCACCTCACTACTGAACATTCAGATCCCTATCCAAATCCAGAACAATACATACATTTGGTGGGAAAACTGATTTATCTGACAACAACAAGGCCAGACATTAGCTATGTCACACAACAAGTGAGTCAGTTTATGTCAAATCCAAGCAACACTCACTACAAGGCTGTTACAAGAATATTGAGGTACCTGAAGCATGCTCCTTCCACTGGCCTTCTCTTCATCTTCATCTTTACAACTGCAAGCCTTCAGTGACTCTGATTGGGCCGCCTGTGTTGACACACGATGGTCAATTACTGGTTATTGTGTCTATTTGGTCTCTTCGCTCGTCTCCTGGAAGAGCAAGAAGCAAACCACTGTTTCTTGATCTTCCAGCGAAGTAGAATATCGTGCTCTTGCCTACACCTCTTACAAGGTTCAATGGCTTCTCTACCTCCTTCAAGACTTCAAAATCCCCCATCCTAAGACGGTGACCCTCTATTGCGACAGTCAATCCGCCATATACATCGCTCAGAAACCCACATTCCACGAGCACACCAAACACATTGAAATCGACTGCCATCTCGTCCGGGATAAGCTCCAAGCAAACGTCATCAAAATCTATCATGTGTCAACAGTTCACCAGCTTGCAGACCTATTTTCAAAGCCTCTTCCACCTGCTACTTTCACTCTTCTCCTCTCCAAGCTTGGTGTTCAGGAATTTTGCCCACCAGCTTGCGGGAGGGTATTAGGGAACAATTCAAAAATTCCCAATCTCCCGCACTTACAACAGGAAGAAGGAAGACGAAGCTGGTGCGACGTCGTGTGTGATGCTAAGTGAACGACGACGTACAGAGAGAACGACGGCGTTCCAAGGTCCAATGACTAGTTCATGCATTTTTACAATTTAACACCCAATCTTATATTTTTGTACATTTTTCCTTTTACGGTCTGTACTTGTTTAAGAAGCAACATTGTCTTCTTCTACAAACTTATGATCCAACTATATAAGCTGATCCCACAAAGAAATGAGACAAGTTTTTAGTTTCTCACAATTCACAAAGTGTCAATAGTTGCACAAGAACAACGTCCCTCCAAAGTAGTTCGGCTCAAAATTTCATCCCACGATAGCGTTGAATTCGAGGTGGCCTGCGAGGTTGTTGTCTTTTGACGCTCAGTGCACTATCATCGTTGTATTTCATATTCTAATCGAGTATTAGTTGGGTATGGATTTGTCCATTCTCTTGATACTATTGAAATAAAAATAAAATTTTAGACCTATTAGTAAAATTTTTGCAAGTATAGCCATTAAGGTGTCCAACGAACATATTTTAGGTACTATAATGTAACTAACATTGGTTTTTGGACTTATGTTAACTTTAGGTGTTTATTTGAAAAATTATTAAATTTAGATACCAAATTGTAATTTTAACATAAGTATAAATCCAAATCCATGGATTTAAACTCAACCCAACCAAATTAATTAAATTAAATGAGTATTAGTATTAAACCAATAAAATTTTAGCCATTTATGTTGTAGTTGGATTTTGTACACGAACCCAATCGAGTTGAATAAGAATGTTTGAACCTACTAGCTCGAGGCATGAACAATGATATTTGTTGTGTGGGTTGACTCGTCATCCGTTCGTATGATCTCGTCGGGAGGGAAGAAACCTGTGAAAGAGTCGGGGTTGCCCCCCGGATTAAGCTCCGACGCTCAAGTTAGTGTATGTTTGTGGAGAGAGTTGAGAGAATAGATAGAGAGATAAAGTGTAGAGAGATAGTAGAAAGTGGAAAGTGAGGAGAGAGAGAAAGGTCCCCCTTCAATGGGGAGTTTCATGCCTTTAAATACTTCGTAGTGGCGTTCGTCCGGAGCACGTTACCGATTGAGCGCACCCTTATTTAGTCCGCGCGTGGAGTATTTAGTAACACTCCCAACAATTGCCCCCCAAGCTGGTGGTGAATCTTAACTCATCGCTAGCTTATTATTTTTAAAAAATCTTTGTCGGTAATTTTGGGTGGAGCCCTATGTACCCCAGTTGCCCCCCAGCTGGTGGCGCGTTTGACTGACGCGGTGCTAGCTTCTTGCGTCTTGCCCCCCAGTTGGTGTATTTCATTAAGGCGTGTAGCCTTCGCCCCTTGTAGATTCTTCATGGAGCTCTCCTCGTCGGGTTTTTTTTTTTTAGCACTCAGTTTGGGGTTCTCCTCGTCGGGGTTTCTAACCCTCAGTTTGGAGTCTTCGATGCTCTTATTGAAGTCTTATTTGTGTGCTTCGTTGAGACTTATTTGTGGCTCCTCGTCAGGGTTTTTAACCCTCAGTTTGGAGCCCTCCTCGTCGGGGTTTTTAACCCTCAGTTTGGAGTCTTCGATGCTCTTATTGAAGTCTTATTTGTGTGCTTTGTTGAGACTTATTTGTGGCTCCTCGTCGGGGTTTTTAACCCTCAGTTTGGAGTCTTCGATGCTCTTATTGAAGTCTTATTTGTGTGCTTCGTTGAGACTTATTTGTGGCTCCTCGTCGGGGTTTTTAACCCTCAGCTTGGAGCCCTCCTCGTCGGGGTTTTTAACCCTCAGTTTGGAGTCTTCGATGCTCTTATTAAAGTCTTATTTGTGTGCTTCGTTGAGACTTATTTGTGGCTCCTCGTCGGGGTTTTTAACCCTCAGTTTGGAGCCCTCCTCGTCGGGGTTTTTAACCCTCAGTTTGGAGTCTTCGATGCTCTTATTGAAGTCTTATTTGTGTGCTTCGTTGAGACTTATTTGTGGCTCCTCGTCGGGGTTTTTAACCCTCGGTTTGGAGCCCTCCTCGTCGGGGTTTTTAACCCTCAGTTTGGAGTCTTCGATGCTCTTATTGAAGTCTTATTTGTGTGCTTCGTTGAGACTTATTTGTGGCTCCTCGTCGGGGTTTTTAACCCTCAGTTTGGAGCCCTCCTCGTCGGGGTTTTTAACCCTCAGTTTGGAGTCTTCGAGGCAATGTGCCCTCTCCCTTAGCGCCATTAACGCTCATGAGAGTAAAATATTTCAATATTTGATAGTGATAAAGGGATAGAGTACTTAGCTTTCTATTGGCGAAGCGGCGCGAAGAGTTGTTAAAAGGCAGATGCTGCGCCATTGAAACTCAAGGCGTGTATGTAGCCTACTGGTATTGTTGCTTGTCACGCGGAGGAGTGACGCGGGTTCGAACCCTCGCGGTGATGATATTATTTTTGATGGGGCGCCTGTTGAATGCGGGGCGAGAGTTGGGCCGTGCGTTTGTTGCGGGCTTAATGTGAAGCGGGTGAGTCGGACGGGCCGCGAGTTGGGACTGACGCGGAGTGGAGGACTGGAGGTCAGGCGGAGGTTGACTTGTGCGAAGCGGCGCGAAGAGTTGTTAAAAGGCAGACGTTGCGCCATTGAAGCAGAAGGCTTGTATGTAGCCTACTGGCAGTAGCTCTTGTGAGATGGAGTAATGGCGCTGGTTCAAGTCCTCGCGGCGACAATAATATTTTTGATGTGGCGCGTCTTGGATGCGGGGCGCGAGTTGGGCCGCATGACGCGCGAGGTGGACAGGCGGTGATGTGGGCCGCAAGCATGGGCTGTAGGGTGGCGCGGCGAAGTAGTTTAAATGCAGGCGTTGCACCATTGAAGCACAAGGCTCGCTTGTAGCCTGTTGGTAATGATGCTTGCTTGTCGGAGGAGTGGCGTGGGTTCGAGTCATCGCGCCGACGAGATTTTTTGAAAAGTGCTCTGATCTGATGGATGCTGCGCGCGCTGCGACTTGGTTGGGCCGCGCGGGCTGGTGGGTCGCGCTTGGTGACACGGGCTGGTGCAGTGCGCGGCGCGGGCCGCTACTTGGTTGGGCCGCGCGTGCTAGTGGGTCGCGCCTGGTGACGCGGGCTGGTGGAGTGCGCGGCGCGGGCCACGACTTGGTTGGGCCGCGCGAGCTGGTGGGCCGCGCGAAGCAGTTTAAATGCAGGCGTTGCACCATTGAAGCACAAGGCTCGCTTGTAGCCTGCTGGTAATGATGCATGCCTGTTGGAGGAGTGGTGCGGGTTCGAGTCCTCGCGCCGATGAGATTTTTTGAAAAGTGCTTTGATCTGATGGATGCTGCGCGGGCCGCGACTTGGTTGGGCCGCGCGGGCTGGTGGGTCGTGCTTGGTGACGCGGGCTGGTGGAGTGCGCGGCGCGGGCCGCGACTTGGTTGGGTCGCGCGAGCTGGTGGGTCTCGCTTGGTGACACGGGCTGGTGCAGTGCGCGGCTCGGGCCGCGACTTGGTTGGGCCGCGCGGGCTGAGGGTGGAAGCGGGATTGGGTGAAGGAAAAAGTAGTGGTAACCCTTGTATTTTTTTTTTTTTTTGGAAAAGCTGTATGAGGATGATGTGACTATTCTCGACGGGACAGCCGACTTCTGCTTTTAATCGTCAAAATTCTGGCGACCGAAATTTGGATGGAGCATGGCGCTAGAAGGAGGGCAACTTTTCTGTTTCTTGGAGAAAATGTTCTTACCAATGCAGCAGCCTCCTTTGTTTTTGCGTCCTCTATCCCTCGGAAATCAGATGAACGAAATTGATGAGTTGCCCCACGGTGGGCGCCAATTGTTTGAACCTACTAGCTCGAGGCATGAACAATGATATTTGTTGTGTGGGTTGACTCGTCATCCGTTCGTCTGATCTCGTCGGGAGGGAAGAAACCTGTGAAAGAGTCAGGGTTGCCCCCCGGATTAAGCTCCGACGCTCAAGTTAGTGTATGTTTGTGGAGAGAGTTGAGAGAATAGATAGAGAGATAAAGTGTAGAGAGATAGTAGAAAGTGGAAAGTGAGGAGAGAGAGAAAGGTCCCCCTTCAATGGGGAGTTTCATGCCTTTAAATACTTCGTAGTGGCGTTCGTCCGGAGCACGTTACCGATTGAGCGCACCCTTATTTAGTCCGCGCGTGGAGTATTTAGTAACATTCCCAACAAAGAAAAAAATTCAAAGATGTGGACAAAATTGTGATTCCTATACATATATTCATAATTAAGAGTTATACACTCAACCTTGGATCTCAAAATTTCCCACCTTCAATGAGCGTTCTGAATGATTTTGAAAAATAGAAGTTCTTGGCCACGATAGTACATTTCTGTTGTCGGCCCAAACTAATAGCTTTTGTGGATGGATGGTCGCCAAAGGGCAATTCTTTAGGATTTGAATGGAACGGTCACAGAAAGAAATGATTTTCTGCGACGATTTTATAATAAATGTTGCATGACCTTCAGCGAGCCATTATAGGCGAGTATTGTAAATACTAAATATCCCTATTCCTGGTTACCAAAAACCTTTAGCCATGTACCCTCGCCAGCTACATCTGGAGAGAGCGATGTTGCCGTTTATATGGAGCGAAGCCAACTAGAAGCCCGCCGGAGTTAGTAAAGTTGATTAGTGCAGGTGTCTTGTATCGTGTCTCTAGGGATCCGTCCCTCCAGGTTGAGTTAGAATATATGGATAGATTACACTTACACTCTGTTTGGCAACAAGGGGGTGCAAATTGCAGGAGGGTGCAAGTTGAGGTACAAATTGCTGGGAAGTGCAAATTGCTGGAGGGTACAAGTGGAGGGGTAAATTGTTGTTTGGATGAAAAAGTAGGGGGATGCAAAATTATGTAAGAAAGAGTTTTAGATTATTATATATAAAGAGTAAATATAATAATATGAATGTTGTATTATACATAGGTAGTAAAATACGGTACGACAAAGTTGTGTATAAAATACGTATGGCTATTTTACTTCGTCTCTAACCGAATGTTACATTTAACAGTCATAAATATATAAAAAATAATTATTGTATAATTAAATAAATATATAAATAATATTAAATTGAACAATTTAATTCATTAAATACGGATAGTAAACGTGTTATACGGGTTTTATATGCGTTTAGTACGGGAGCCATCAAATGAACGAAAATATGCGAAATGGCTTGACAATAATATGGATACGGAATTTTTAAACGGATAAAATATGTACGGGTACATATACATATATTAAGCGGAGTATTTACTAACTATGGTACGGGTAAAATATGTACGGGTACATATACATAAAATTGGATCAATCAACAAAAAACATTTGCAATGACACTCCTTATAATAAGCATACATATTTTATCAACATAATAAAGAAGGAAAGATACAGAGTCTCACTTAACAAATCGTATTTCACACAAGAAACCAACTCTTTCGATATGAAGAGTTTAATCAAGATATTTAGTGTACCGTAAGAAAATATTTTATAAACGTTATCACGAGAATTGAATACGAGAAGCACATTACTAATTGTTTATTTATTAATTGTTAACCCTTTCCACTAGGCCATATATATCTACATAACCACATAGTTATTCTGGCTAAACGTATCTACCTAAACCTAATTACCTTAGTTCACACGTCCAGCTTTGCAATAATATTTAATAAATGGCGAATTTAGTGTATTATCCCAGGATTAACAATTAACAGCTAGCTAGTGAGACAATTCCAAAAGCTCCCACCCACTGTTGAAGAATATGAGATCATAAGTACTGCAGATGAAACCCCTGTTTCCATTTTGAAACCCCTGTTTCTTTCGCATACCAGAGGTTGCAGCCATTGGCCTTTACTTCTCCCTCTACCCTCTCTCCCTCTCTTCCCACTTGACAATCATAAAAGCCTCTCTTTCCCAAGCCTGACTTTCCATTGCCCAATTAATCCCCAGAGAAAGAAACCAAAGCAGATAAAAGATGGAAACTGATAGAAATTAAGGTTGCCCCTGCCCCCTTCATCTTCTCCCTCCATCCCCAAACGTTATCTAACCCATCTAGTGCTAACCTAATGCATTGGATAAAGCTTCAAAAATAAACAGAAGGCAAATAATCATGTCATCTACTAATTATACTAGAGGGAAATGTTATAGCTAAACAAAATTATATACGGACACTCATTAGAGTGCAAATATTGGAAGGAATGAAAGAGGGACTTATGCATTCATCGGACCCAAAAAAAAAAGAGGAAGAAATAGCGATTGGGGAAGTGACAATCATGGACAAAGTTGGGGTTTTATTCACCTTCAAAAAGAGCAGGGACAAGTCCAGCAAAGTTTGAATGAAGAACCCTTGTCGAGCAGGCCAATGATCCGAAAAACAGAACACCGCAACAAGAATGGTAGATCGACCAAACTCCTGTATAACACAGCAATCGGAGATGAGGATGACACGACTCCGCCGGCCGATTGAAGCCGACGAGTCGGAGTGGGCGGAATCAGAATTTCTATCTTCTAAATCTAGGTTTACGATTTGTTTGGGTGGGATGGGTAGGTCTTTCGCAATGAATGGGAGAAGAGAGATGGAACAGAACAAAGTAAAAGAGGAAAGAAGAACCGTAGAAAAATAAAAGTCGGGAGGAGAAAAAAAAATATAAAAGCCAATATTTTTTTTGCTTCCCTTCCTTCCGCCCCAAATTGGGGGGTTGAGTAAAACAGTACAATTGCCCCTTTAATGCACCCCCTACCAACTGTTGATAATTATCCAAATAGGTACAAATTTTTTGGGATTCCCATTTACCTCAAAAACTTGCACCCCCCTCCATTTACCCCTCAAAACAAACAGAGTGTTAGAGGTGGCAAATGGATTAGATTGGTGGATTGGTGGATTGGATTGGTGGATCCATGGATCAAATGGATTGGATCTAATGGATTGGTGGATTCATGGATTGGATCAAGTGGATTGGTGGATTATCCGTGAATCCAAATGACATCATCAACCAAGGACCAATATGTAAAATGTAAAAAGTTTAGGTACTAAAATGTCATAATGAAAAATTTTAGGTACCAAAACGTAATTTTTCAATGATATTTTTCGTATAAAAAATTAAATTTTAGGTACCAAAATGTAAAAAATAAAAATTATAGGTACTAAACCGTAATTTGCCAATGATCCATGGATCCAATCCATGAATCCACCAATCCAATTGAATTTGGATAAAATGGATTGGATTTAAATGGATTGGATTAGGTGGATATTTTTAATGAATTGATGGATTGGATTGGTGGATTGAAATTGCCACCTCTAATTACACTTATAGATAGTTAATAGGAACTCTATTCTCAGGTTGTAAAAAGTTTGAGAGACTGTTTCTGATGTTAGCCAGTGCTTAATGGAAATTTTTTGATTTCGCATAAAAAAAAACCTTTAGCCACCACATTCCTACTTTTGCTATTGTTCTTAATTGGTGCCGGTGCGCATTTTTCTTGTGGTGTAAATTTGAAAGAAATTAAACTGTCTATATTTTTTGAAAATAAATTACATTGTCAGATACAAAAAAAAAAGGTGGACCTAGTCACCTCATTCCACACCAACATCAATTAGCCAAAAAAAAAAATTTCCATTTGGAGATCACGGGTACCCACAGTCTTTTCCCGATGAGTTCCATCGACAAATGAAATGTCGATATACACCAGACACGTACCTCCCGAAAAGCCCGTCGTCACAGACATCCCACACAGAAATGTAGAAATTCCCGTGCCTATCTGCATCATACGCTACGAAAGAAAGTCGCCTATCTTCGATCGCGAGGTTGCACCAGAAAAGTGTCCCACCAATGATGTCCAGTTCGAATTGCCAGCTGATGCTCTCGTTGAAAGAGATGGCGTGGGCACCCATATCGTCGTCTTTGGATTGACAATGCACTATCAACACCTTGCTGCTCAGCTTGTTGATAACTTGAATCGCCCGTGTCTGGCCGGTCGAGGGTCGTGCCATTGTTGCTATAAATATGGTCGCTAAAACTATGGCAACTGCTGTTCTATTTTGTACGACCAACTGCTTCCTAATCATCGTGAAATTTTTATTTTATGAATGTCTAATGCTTCTTTTGAGTGGGTTGAGGGATTTATCAATCATTAAGAGTGACGTTAAAATTAGGCGGGATAATGCATTCGACCGCTTTCCTCTTTGGGAAACGTACGGCTCTGTTGTGCTTTGGAATTAGTGTCATTTTAGGGGCGGCATCTAATTAGTTCTTAATTGTGTCCCAATGTTAATTGGGTGTATTGTGGATTCCCAACCATACGGCGATTTCCTTATTTGATTAAAATCTGAGGAATTATATATCTTTTTGTTTTAGTTTGAAATTGAATTTGTTAATAGAAAATTTAGGTTAATTATGCTGTATGAAATGATTTCCAATTGGTCAGGAAGATTATATACCATGGTGGTATGTATGAAAATATATAATGTTAGTTTGAATATATCGATAATATAGAATGGTGATACACATGGTAGTAGTAACATAAAAACTGCCCTCTACCACCATTTACTTCCACTCTACCACTATGATCGAGGTGGTATAATTGATCTAATTTTTTTTCCTACAACAACATATCGAGAATAATATATATTATTTTGTAAATCATAATAATTTCTTTTTTTTATGCGAAAAAACTCAAAATTCGAGTAAAAAAAAGGAGGAGGTAAAGGGTAGTAGTGGTGGTATCAAAATCAAAAGTATAAGAAGTAGGAGATTTAAAGAAGCAATTATAATCGCAGCCATCAGATTTGACTTCACACAAAATCAAAAAGACTAGATGGAGTTAGAATTTGGTTATGCACCCTACTCTAAGTCTAAGTAGCCATTGAAAAAATGACTTTATTAAACTGGTCTATCATAATAAAAACTAGGAAGTAAACATCCCATGCATTTGTGCCATGGATATAGTGGAAAGCATGCCACTGAACTCATGTTGGAAACATAATAAGGGAATTCAGAAATCAATTAATGCATTAACTGATTAATCGTAGGTCAAAGAGGATATAAGGTTGAAACTAATATGTTAAGAGTATGCTGACACGGGACTGTAGCGGGCCAACACCATATTATTGTTACATCAATCATATGTACCATACACACGACATACAAAATAAATGTATCAAATACGATCTAAGAATTTAGTAAACAATCCTAGCTCGAACTCGACTCGACCCAACTCGTTAATAAATGGCTCGAGTTCGGCTCACTTGCAGCCTTAGTTTGGTTAAAACCTTATGTAACATCACTTTTCATTCAATACACAGTACTAAAAAATCACAGCAAAGAAAAAAAAACAAACACACCCGTATAAGTCTATACGTAGTACGTCCATCGTTGATTTTTCATCCTTTTTTTTCTGCTACACCAACACTACAACTAGCTAAGCTAAGCCCATTCAGAAATACGACCGTCGGCCCCGTAAACTCCATCGTCAAATACATCGTACACGTACTCCGCAACGTCTTTACGTACGGTGATAGCTAAGAAATCAAGACGCTTGTCCTGAAACGCCAGGCGACATTTAAAATCCGTCCCTGGATAAGCATCATTTCTGTTGAACTTCCAATTGCAACTCGAATCGGGGACGACGAAACGAGCGGCGAGATCGATGTATCTGGATCGACAATGCACTATCAGCGCCATCCTGCTGCTCAACTTGTTGGTGACACGAATCGTCACCGCGTAACGATCATCATCAGCTGCATAATCTTGTGGTAGTACCGTTGCTAAAACAACTGCCGCGGCGGCTAGTAGCGCTTTGCGAATGAGAACTAGCTGCTCCCTCGTCATCATTATATGTAGTTACAGAATTTCAGTGGTACTGTAATCGTTTTATTTTTCAGGAAATTGTAATAGTCCTTTTTATATGATATAAGAGTGTGTGATAAAAGGTGCATGGGATTGTAGGGCTCTTGGTTACGTACGGCTCTCTGCATGGTGTCTTTGGTTCTTACTTGTGGCTCTTATGTTACTTGGACGTACAGTTTCTCAGGATTTTTTTCCGGCAGCTTTGTCGTATGTATAATTGTTGAGATTTCTAGAGCCAGAAAAAGTTAGATCGGAACAGGCGACAGAACCCTACACGACATCGATGGAAACTGTTACGTTTCCTTTCACTAAGGGATAAAAGAAAAAACATCAATTCGTTTATTTCAAAGTTATTGTAATTTTTTAATAAAATGCGGCCCAGTATTCTACTATATATATTCTGGATTCGCCGTTACTAATACCCACAATTTATTCTCATGTTAATGAACAAATAATCACTTAATCACTTAGTTTCAATGTTGGAAACTCAAACGAGCACACCGATGGGTTTTTCTACGGTTTATGTTATAAACGCGCTGCTACGGATCGGGAAATCGCCGGAATCGATAAAGCAAGAATACGAAAGCGAGAATCGAAAAACACAGACACACGATTTACGTGGTTCACTAACATGATGTGTGTTACCTACGTCCACGGGCGAGAGAGAGCCAGTTTCACTATATCAAGGAGATTACAGATTACAGAGGAGTATGAGAAGTATTTATAGTACTTCTCCATGTGGGTCTAAACCTAATCCAATCTGGCAAAGGAAACGGTTAGCTACGTCTGGATCTGGTACAGCGAGACCCCCGATTACCAGTCGTAGCGGCTGATAGTCTGATTCAAGTCACATCAACAGTTTACACAGGTTGAACATATAATTCCTTGTATTGCTAAACCATTAGACTTTCGGTTTGCATTTTGCACAACATATTATCCCTTGCGCTAAACTATATATTGTTTATATTGGGTTCGCCATAAGGATTCAAAATCACAACCTCTCAATCAAAAGTTCTGATACCGTGTTAACGAACAAATGAATCCACTTAGTACTAATATATAGCTTAAGCTGGTGGAAACTAGTTTGTTGAGTTTTTTTTTATCTCCTACAATATCCCAAGTTTTGCACTAATCCCAAGAGCTGAGGGTCCTTCATTATTGGATATTGCACCTGATTTCTTCTTGCCTCTGCTTGATCAAGCAACATGCAGCTAGAGCTAGTCGAGGGGAATGGGATATATATATATGGCGCAAACTTATAAATTTACATGGTGAAAACCCACATTTTAATCATTCATTGTATCATATATTTTCTTCAAAGAGACATATTTCCCTTACATATACCCTTTCAACAGTATATTTGAAAGATACGGACGTAGGATATTCGTTTCACAAACATTGGCCGTAACTCATTAATCACTAGCTAGACTGACTAATTCATCAACCCTAGCCACCAACCGTACCCAAAATTTCAGTTCCATTTACCCATCAACCTTTCCCCGCCGGTACTGCTTCTCTTCCCATAAAGCCCACGATCATAGACAACCCAGTAATGGTATTTAGCTCCGTCGCTCCCTTGATCATACGCTGCGAAAGAAAGCCGCCTACCTTCCACCCTCAAATTGCACGAGTAAAGCGTCGTGAAGAAGACGTTCGGCTCGAAACTCCACTCGAAGTCGTCGTCGATCTCCACGGTGTGCGCTCTGAGATCGTCTTCTTTCGATTCACAATGCACTATCAGTATCTTGCTGCTCAGCTTGTTCGTAACATGAATCGTTACCATTGCCGTAGAATCTTGCACTAGTAGTATCGTCGCTAAAACGACCGTCGCTAGTAAGCGGATCGTAACCAGCTGCTCCCTCGTCGTCATTATATATCGTTAAATTAGTGAATACTGTAATTGTTTTTTGAGAAGAAAGATAGGGTGTGTATATAATGAAAAGGTGAATGAGGATTAATTATAGGGATATTGGCCCGTACGCCTCTGTGTCTTTGCACTTGTATTTTGTGGCTATAGCTCGTACGTTACTTGGAAGTACAGTATCTCCGGATTGTTTTCGGCAGCTTTTGTCGTCTAATTTTGAGGGATTGTCAATGGCTGAAACTGAAAAATCCAGGGTGAGTCTAATCCGGCTCTTGATGGCATCAAATTTTCTTTGTATTTTAAATTAAACAAATAGTATATAGGATGGATGTTACTAATCATAGTGGTAAGAATCGTATCACTACTAATAAGGAGGGTTTTATAGATCATCTTGATGACAATACAGTCAAAATCGTGATTTATTTTGGTGACCCAGAAGCAGAAAAACATACCTTTAAATCGTATATTTTGACCGCACTTGTAAGTGAAAAGTGCAATTCTATGTAGAAGTGCTTTGGTGATCAAGAATTATAAAACTGTAAACTTTTAAGTTTTAAATCGCAACTTTAACTACATTGACTAAATTAAATGGTGGAGCTAGAAAATGTCAAGGACCAGTTACTAGCATGAAATCGGTGACACAGTTCGTTATAAAATAATAGAGAACTAAAGCTAAAAATAAACAAAATAAAAAAATATATCCGGTTAATACAATTCATAGAAAATATTCGAATAATGAAAGTTAATTCAAAATCTGAAAATCCAATTTTTTATTTTATTTTTGGTTCCCTGACATGGCAAGTGACATGGCGCTTGACTCACAATCAATGTATTTGACCGTCCAATTTGACGGTCAAAATCTGCTCCGGGCCAAACAAGGAAGTATATATGATGCATAGTTCGGGTCATGAGAGCAATTTCATAAACCACAGGCCAAAGTAAAATGTTTGGGTATAGTTTGGGCAAAAATAATTTATTAACCCTTAAATATCAAACTTATCTAATCCATTTAAATCCAAATCCAATCGGATTGGTGGATTCATAGATTGATCCATGGATCCAAATGACAAATTACAGTTTAATATCTATATTTTTATAATTTACATTTTGGTACCCAAAATTTATTTGTTATACGAAAAATATCCTTGAAAATTATGTTTTGGTACCTAAATTTTTTTATTATGGCATTTTAAGTACCTAAACTTTTCAAAATTTACATTTTGGTCCAAGAATTGGATGTCATTTGGGTCAATGGATCAATTCACCAATCCATATGATCGAATCCATGAATACACCAATCCATTTGAGTCAATCCACTTGATCCATGGATTTATCAATCCAATCCACCAATGTAGGGGTGGCTATACGGTCCGGTCCGGTTAAATAGGTCCAAATTGATCTGGTCCAATCCGGTCTTTTAGAAAATATAAGAACCAAAGATTGGATTAGATACAGTCCGGTCTTGACCCGGTTCGGTCTTGATTTTATATTGAGCTTGTGGGTATTTAAGTGGCCTAAGGCCTTAAAGGTTGAGGAGTTGGTTAAGTTTTGTACTAAGTGCAAAGGTTTGTGACCGTTTATGCAAATTACCCTTAAGTTTTGGGTGTTGATCTCTCTTATCCGGTCTTTATCTAGTTTTCGATCTGGTTCCGAACGGTTTTTTACCTCAAATCTAAGCCCAAAGATTGGATTGGATTGTTTACTATCCGGTCCCGGTCCGGTCTCAGTCCGGGTTATACAGTCCGGTTTCAAGTAAAACCAAAAAACCCGGACCAAATAGCCAGCTCAACACCAATGTATGGATCCAATTAAATTTGTCACCTTTATGGTTAGTCAATTAATAAATGATATAGTGCATATACATTCGAAAATTAACCTAAAATTTTATTTACATTTGAAGCAACCGAAAGATAATAATATAGGATACATGTAACATTTTCAAACAACTTGTGACCGGAATGTTTTAACCATCAAAGATCTTCGAGTTACTTTGTTTCCATAAGTTCCAACATAGTGCGTGTAGTAATAGCCCCCCGCAACAAGTCAGCCCGTCCGAATTTGAGGGGCAGACTCGCTCCTACCGTCACTCTAGGAAATGGCCAAGTGTAACCACCTCCTAAAGCGTAGTATAGCGGGTTTGGGTTCTAATGTCAACCCGGGTCCTAAATGTGATGACTACTCCGTGAGTTCTTATTATTTAGCAGTGAAACTTTAGTGAAGGTCCAAACAAACAAACAAGCAAAGCAGTAAAAAGGTTGTTTTCAAGTCGAGAGAGGTAACCTGGATATGGTTCCCCCTAGACTGCAACTAAGCTGGATTGTAATTTACCAAGTTCAAGTTCAATGATAGTTATACTGCGGGAGGTTCTTAAACAGTCTGCAGTCTCGACTAAAGGTCTCTACACCCTCTCAATCTGAGTCCCCAGCGGGCGACTAACCTCCACCGGATTAAACAGATTGAGGCCCTAACGAACCAAACCTCCACTACCGAAGTAAATTCGGTACAGAATAGTGAATTGACTCTTCGACTAAAGTCGTCAATTCACTACCTTCAAGCAAGAGTGCTCTATCAACCTAGGAAGATATTCTCTTTCTAGGTTAAAGCAAAAGCAACAAGAATTTGATCAGGATTCATGCCATTCAACAAATCAAGCGTCAATTGAGTATAATCATATCACCGAATCTGTACTTGGGTTCATACAATCAGACCTAACATACAAATCTAGGGTTCTTCATACCCAGGTGAATAAGAAAGCTACTCCATAGAGAGAGACGGGAAATCTAGCTCAGATGCGGAAACCATACTGTGAAGGATGAGAATATTCTTCTGGCACTCAATTAGCTCTTCTCCAAGCTCAAGCCGCTCTCCAATGGCGATGGAGATCGATCAAAGACACTTGCAGAATCAGGTTCATCACTTTCTCTCTCTAGGTTTACACTTTTTCTCTCTAAAACTCGGAACCTTCACTTTTGCCCTTCTTTTCCCTTAAGAAGCTGTCTGTCGCGATCCCCGGCCTGAATACCCGGTCGGGTATTTTAGGTGGAGACCGGGTATCTTCAAAACGCACCGTCGAGGAACAAGGGTTAATCCCCAGTCAAGGCCAAGAATACCCGACGGGGGATTTATGATTACTGCCCGAGTGTCCTACTGCTTCTCAGACGCCCAAAACATATTTTCCCCGGTCTGCTCCAAATAATACCCGGCCGGGTATTTCTGCTCATGGCCGGGTATTTTGCTCCTCCAGCACACTTCAACCCCAACGTGCTCCTTTCGACCCGAAACTCATTTCTTCGCCTCGATGCCAACGCTAAGCCCTGAAATATGACATAAACGCACAACCTAGCGTGAAATCGGCTTAAAACACGAGAATCAACATCTCAAACGGCTCAAGAATAGGGGTAAAACATGTGCAATCAATGGTCTATCAAATTCCCCCACACTTAATCGTTTGCTTGTCCCCAAGCAAACCTAACCCAAACCAATGCAACTCTCCAGACCTCTATAGAAACAAACAACCCCGATCGTCGGTAGAGGATTTCCTAGATCATATAGCAGCTTACGAGGTCAACTGGTCTTATAAGACGTTCCATATCTCTCTCAATGCGAGTACTAGACTCAAGCCAGGATCATGAGAAGAAGTAGAAGTAAGACAGACAATTCATGGATAAAGGGACTCACACCATTCACAACAAGTACTCGTTGCACCGGGGTGCTCTTTCACTTCATTTCACCTTTGGAACCCCTTTTTCACTTTCACTTTACTTTTTCTCCTTTCTTTTCATTCACTTGGTGGGGGTTCCAACTGTAGTCTTTTGCACGGTCGACCCTTATTAGTCGAGCAAGAGCAATTTCTATACATCTGGCGCTCGCCAGAGTACTTCTTTTAACTCCTTTTCCTCAACTCGCGTGGAGGGTCAATGAAATTAAGGGGGGTCGGAAGCTCTATCTGTGCCCTTAAAAACACATCCTCAAGTAGGCAAACCTTTCAACGGGTGAAAATTTTACTTGTACTAGAGACAGCTTAGCTTCACCTTGTAGGAGTACCCCACTAAGGATCACTAAAATCACTTCCAAAACCCGATTTTGTGCAATGAACGGTGCCACACACGTTGGGCTTACCCCATGTTTAAGATTTCAATGATTTCGACATGAAGGACCAACTGCTTTTCATTTTCCACATGAGCACCCTGTTCGATACACGAGTCCATAACATAATCCAAACAGAGTCACAATTACCACATGAATTCAACGGTCTTAGCTCCACTAATTCACAAAATCAACTGGCACAACAGAGAGCTAGATATGAAAAATCTTATACTTCAACATCCTCCATAGTGCTACACTACCTCCCTAGGTTGCACATTACTATAGAGACTGTCAATTTAAATCATACTGAGCAGGCAATTTGCAAGGAAACACGTGCTTGGAGCCCTCAAATCGAAATTTGGACAGTGGACTAGGCTCCAAGCACACAAACAGATTTAATGTAGTCAAAAGAGAAACATCCCCCACACTTAAGATCGACATTGCCCTCAATGGAGAAGAGGGAAGGAAAAGGGGAACGGCGTTACATGTGTGCACGGACTGCATGAGACTGGATGGGGACCAGTCTGAGTGTAGCGGACTGGAGAGGGGACCAGTCAGGACAAAGCACAGCTAAAGGGAACAGAAGAACTCAAACACAATACGTTAGGTCCAATGGTCAGCCCAATAGTACATCATCCAAAAGAAAAATAAAAGGAGAGAAAATAAACCGACACACAAGACAGTTTGCACTCTGACATAAACAAAAACAACACAAAACGGGGCCACGAGTACAACCTATTCGACCCCGGTGAAGTCAATCTGGTCCATGAGGTCGTCGACCCCATCAGTCGGTGGTGGTGGGGGTGGTGAGTGGTCCCACCGGGTGGTCCAGTGGTGCTCCTGGTACTCCATCAACCGGCGGCCACGGTCCCGCTCCCGCTCGATGAGAGCACCAGTGACTTCCATCGGGGCCTCCATCCGGTCGAGGCGCTCGTATACAACCGTTAGCCTTGACTAGTACTCAGCCTGGTGGGCCGAATACTGCTGGTAGAACTGGACCTGTTGGTCCCTGAGCTGCTGGTTCTGAAGTCCGAGCTGCTGGAACTGGAGCCCGATCTGCTGGAACTGTTCCATGAAGAAATCCTTCGACGGGCCAGAAGCCATCGACGGAGCAGAAGGGCATGAGGAGGACTCGCCTCTCTCGGATCTCCGTCGTGGCTGAAGGTCCCCCGGTGGAGAGAGAGTGGGCTCTGGCTCATCAGCATCCATGGCCCCGCCATCATCATCATCATTATCATCATCCTCTTCTCCACCGGAGTAGCCATCGTCCTCCTCGTCCTCATCGAGATTCGCATCCTCCTCAGGAGGCAAGGAGAGCCCATCCACCCAGGAGCGGGTGCCATCAGTGGCCAGGAGGAGTGCATTGTGAAGCACGTCCTGACTGAGGGGGGGGGGGGGGGTGGAGCCGCCCCGTGCAGAAGAATCCGTGTGACCCTCGAAGTCGATGTCGAAATGGCGCACCAGGCGGGTGATCAGGGGACCACATAAGAGATGGTTGGGTTTCCTGTGGCACCGAGAGAAAGTGGTATCCACAAAAGAACCCAAGTGCAGCATATGCTCCGGGTACCCCATCGAGTACATGGCGTAGAGCCCCCGCTTCGGGATCCAGTGCGAACCGGTGACATTGGGGACGATGGAGCGGGTGATCAGCAGATTGAGGATGTGCCACTGCGGCTTGAGGGTGCTGACGGATGTCTGGTCGGCGTCGAAGTAGTCATACCCATATGCGCGTCTGGCTATCCGGCCGTAGAACCCATCCTGGTTCCAGTCTGTCAGGTTTGGGACCTCGACTTCGTGGCACGAGAAGGGGTGGTACTAGATCCCCATGGCGCATGCCAACCCGTCAATGGTCAGCTCCCGTGGGTGGCCATCCAGCCTGAAAGTAACTGCGTGGGAGTCCCGGGTCGTCTTGGGGCGGTAGTGGTAGGTGGTGTAGAACTCCCACACCAGCTCTGTGTAAGTGGGCTCCGCGATGGTCAACAGTGTCCGCCAATCCTGGTGGCTGATGGCGGTGTAGAGCTCCTGTATGCAATGGAGCTGCTCGAATACTCCCCACTTCAGATGGTGGTGGCGCTCCACTTTCCCGCGGGTGACCTTGCGGAACTGGTCCGCGTAATCTGGGCAGGTCCTGCACGAACGGATGGTCGAGTGACATGCTCCTGCAAAATCAACAATCCGAAGGTGGAGCCAAGAAAAACTCGTCAGGAACAACAATATGGGTTCATCACTTCCCCCACGCTTAAGGACCACCTAGGCTAACAGTTTTAAGCACAACCGGTTGAATCGCAAGCAACTCAACCGTAATCAAGGCAATAATCAAACATAACCGACCAATTCAATCACACAGGCAATACACACACAATAGCCATAGCC